CCCTGCCCAGCATCCCCAACTCTCTGACCCATCTGCTGCCTGTGAGCTTACTGGGAAAGAGCTGAGCCCGGGAGGAACCCAGTGTCCCCCTGTACCTGCTGTGTATCCAGCATGGCCCAGGAGCACCGCCCACCCAGCACCACCAGGAAGCCTTGCTCCCCAGGCCCTCTCAGGGCCTGCACCCAAGCCCCTGCCACCAGAGACCACTTCACCTCCCTCCCCTCCCATCTCATCCTTGGCAGGGGGCCTTGCCTCACTCCCCTACAGAGGAAGGAGGACACAGCCCACGGCAATCTCCTCAGGTCCTGCAAAACACCCACCTACCTGCTGCGGGGCAAGGCCTCAGGCCCCACACCCTGGCCCCACAGGGTCCTGCCCTGGTGGTGCTCCCCTCCTGAAGCGTCCTCCCGAGTCTGTACCTGGATCCCCAGAACCTGCGAGTATGGACATTTTATAGCAAAGGGGACTCAGCAGGTTTGACTAAAGGAAGGATCCCGAGACGGGGAGATGGGCCCGGATGACCTGGGTGGGCCCTAGATGTGGTCACAAGGGCCTCAGGAGAGGACACAGGAGATGTGAGGACGGCCGTGGAGTCAGGGAGAGGACGGAGGGGCCCGAGGCTGGCCTTGAAGGTGAGGAGGGGGCCAGGGTCACCTCCAGAAGCTGGAGAAGACGAGGAACGAATCCTCCCCGGAGCCCCCAGAAGGAGCCCACTTGTGACCCTTGACCTTCGCCTGTTGAGGTGCATTTTGGACCCCGTCCCCAGGGCTGGAAGGCCATGGCTATGCTGTTCCCAGCTTCGGGGTAGGCCGTGGTTTGTCTGGGCAGCCCTGGGGAGCTGGTGCTGGTGCTGTCACCCCACGCGGCTCTGGCCCCGCTAGGAGGCTTCTTCAGGGCCTCTGCCGCCACGCTCAGCAGGCTGTCTGAAGACCCCACACTGCTAGAGCCAGAGGTGGCTTTTCAGAGCTCTCCACTGTGGCTCAGGCCATCTGGCCAACCGAGTCCTCTCATTCCCCCTCCTGGAGCCCCTCCCACACCCAAGTTCCTCCTCCTCCTCCCCCTGCACCCGCTTCCATGGGGACCAAGGCCACCCTCTGCATAGCCACCGCTCTGGACAACAAAGGCCCTCGGACCAGTCTCTTCCACCCCTGGCTCCAGGCAGCCACGGTGACCTCCCAGAGGCTCATCCAACCACCTGCCCTGCCCAATCCTTCCAAGGCTGCCAGTGTCCCCAGCGGATGTGCCAAGCACAGGCCAAGGGAGCCGCCCCCACCACCACAACGCCGCTTCCTGCCTTGGCCTCCACCTGCCAGGACAGCTTCCTTTCTCCTGCCTTGGATCCCTGGGTTTCTGGGGAGCGTCCTGTCCTTGGGGAGGCTGTCCTCTGCCGCTTGGCATGCCCGTCCTAACTCCTTCTGACACTGGGCCTGCCCCGAACCCCCTGTTCCGAGCCACCCCGGCGCACAGCAGGAACTGGTGAAATGGCTGGGCTGCTTCTCCCTTTCATCTCGGAGGGACAGCAGGCCTCACCTGCCCTGTCCTCAGCTCCACAGACAGCATGGAATGTTCCTGAACAGCCTCATTGACATGGGTTTTTCCTTTTTAAGAAAACAATTAAGCCAGGAGCGGTAGCTCACACCTGTAATCCCAGCACTTTGGGAGGCTGAGGCAGGTGGAGCACCTGAGGTTGGGAGTTCAAGACCAGCCTGGCCAACATGGAGAAACTGATCTCTACTGAAAATACAAAATTATCCGGGAATGGTAGTGACACGTGCCTGTAACCCCAGCTACTCAGGAGCCTGAGGCAGGAGAATCGCTTGAACCCGGGAGGCAGAGATTGGGGTGAGCCGAGATTGTGCCATCCAACTCCAGCCTGGGCAACAAGAGCAAAACTTCGTCTCAAAAACAAAAAAAAAAATTGAACTGAGCCAGGCATGGTAGTGGGAGCCTGTAGTCCCAGCTACTCGGCAGGCCAAGTTGGGGGAGTTGCTTGGGGCCTGGAGTTCACGTCCAACCTGAGCCACATAATGAGACACTGTCTCTAAACAAAAATTCGTAAACATGTAACCGAAATTCACAGAACACTAACCACGTCACAGTGCACACGGTGGCATTTGGCACATTCATGCTGTTGTGCGACCACCAGAACTGTCCAGTTCCAGATGCCTCTGTCACCCCAAAAGGAAAGGAAACCCAGCGCCCACTGGTCAACATCTTCACCCTCCCTCCCTCAGCCCCACCAGCCTGCATCTGTTTTTCCACATCATGGATTCACGTGTTCAGGACATTTCTGTTTTTCTTTTGAGATGGAGTCTCGCTCTGTCGCCCAGGCTGGAGTGCACTGGTGAGATCTCAGCTCACTGCAACCTCCGCCTCCCAGGTGCAAGCAGTTCTCCCGCCTCAGCCTCCTGGGTAGCTGGGATTACAGGCGCCCACCAGCATGCCTGGCTAGTTTTTGTATTTTTAGTAGAGTTGGGGGTTTCACCACGTTGGCCGGGCTGGTCTCGAACTCTGATCACATGGTCTGCCTGCATTGGCCTCCCAAAGTGCTGGGATTACAGGCATGAGCCACCACACCCGACCGGGATGTTTCATATACACAGTCACGGAAGACGTGGCGTTTGTGTCTGGCTTCTTTCCATGTTTTCGAGGCTCACACGCTGCAGCCTGTGTGCGGGAATTTCGCTCCTTCTCATGGCTGATCATGTTTCTTCACACGTCTACACCGCATTTTGTGTCCATTCACCCGGCAACGGATCCTTGGGTTCTTCTTCCCTTTGGCTGCTGTGAACACGCATCTGAGAGTGTGTTTTCAGCTCCTCTGGGTGGACACCGGGGAAGACGCTTGCTGTACCACAGGGTAGTTCCACACCTAACTTTGTGAGGAGCCACCAGGCTGCGTCCCACAGCGGGGCACCTTGCTGATATTTTCAGGCACGTCAGCTCTGCAGTCTGCACTGCCGGCCGCCTGGGCTGAGCGAGTCTGGGGAGCGCGGTGCTCTGTGGAGCTGCTGGCTTTCCCGGGGCTCCTCTGCCTGCCTGGGGCTGCTGCTGAAAGCTGAGACTCGACCTCGTTTTCCACACACCCACAGGCAGGGAGAGGCCTGTGCAGCACTCGGGGGGTGCAAACTGGCCCTGGGCCCCGCCTGCACAGGAAAAGGGGCCTGCCTGGCCGCCGGGTGGGGTGGGCCAGCTTCGGGGCTGGGTGCTCTGGTGGGTGGTCTCTCTGGCTTCTGGGACACCAGGCGGAATGGCTAAATCGGGAGGCACAGGCCCCTGTAGAGCTACTGGGGCAGTGACAGCTGGACTCGTGTGCCGGCTCCATGACCACTCCCCCGGTGTTCCCAGCTGGTAATGTCCCTCCCCTGCAATCTGCAGGTGGCCCAGGACTTTCTGACCCACAGGATGCAGCAGAAATGACACTGTGTGAGGCCAGGTCACACAAAGCGTGGCAGCTTGGCCTGGCCTGGTGAATGTGCTCTGAAGGGAGCCAGCTGCCACGAGAGAATCTGACTACCCTGAGACCACCACGCTTCGGGAAGCCCACACCAGCCACAGGGGAGGCCAGCTGGCCCTGGCTGTTCTAGCCACTCAGCTGAGGCACAGGGCCGGGGCGAAGAGGCCATCCTGGATGGTCCATCTCGTTTGGCCTTCAGATGGCTCCAGCCCCAGTTGCCACCTTACTGCAGAGAGACCTCAAAGCAGGACTGCCTGGCTGAGCTGGGCAATCCACAGGCTGGGCAATGACAAAGGGGCGCTTGAAGGCACTAAGCTTTGGAGTGCTTTGTGACACAGCAACAGTTAACAGGGACCTGGGAGTCAATTTGGAGCCCACATGGCCAGTCCATTCTGAGCATGTCCCCCCAGCCATAGTTCACGGAGCAGGTGCCCATCACGGTTCACGGCTACTGTGGGCCTTAGCTCCCCTCCCTCAACGTTGCTTCCTGCCCTGTGGAGGTCAGACTGGTCTTGAACTCCTGACCACGGTTGATCCACCTGCCTCAGCCTCCTAAAGTGCTGGGATTACAAGCAAGAGCCACCTGTGCCTGGCCCCAAGGGCTCTTATTGAGGTTAGGTTAGGACTGGAGGAATCAAGAGACCGAGCTGCCTCCTAATGCAGGCTTGTCCAACCCATGTCCTGTAGGCTGCATACCACTGCAAATGGTGGCATTTGGAGGGGGTCCTTGGAATCCATGCCCAAGGAAGAACTGCAGCTGCCTGGGACCCTTCCACACCCAGGAAGGGCCGTCATCAAGGTGGGACTTGCAGAAGGAGGGAAGGGCAGCTGGCTTTTGAGTGGAGGGACAGCTCCAGGGACAGCGTGGCAGCTCCCATGCAGGGCAGCTCCCAGCCACCCTTGCCACCTCGAGGGGAGGCACCCTCAGCCCACGCTCTGGCCCCTCCTGCTCCCCACTCTCCTCTCCCCTGGCTTCCTTCCAGGGCCCGCTCTCTTCCGACTGGCTTTGAGAAGCGTCTACACTCCTGCTTTCCCTGGGCTCCTAGACACTCCAACTTCGGTCTCCGGGATTGTCTTCCTGGGCCCAATCCCTCCCTCCCTGGGGGGTCTGCCCCGCCCGTGGACCCCTGGATTAAATCTTGGGCTTACGGTCCATCACAGTGGGGAGGTATCGGCTCGGCTCATCGCACCCCAAAGCTGCAGGCCTTCGGTTCCAGCCCCCCCTGACAGGGGTCCTCGCACCTCCAAGCCCTCCCTCTCCCAGCTAAGAGGTCCCGAGTCCCACCCAAGCACAGAACCCCGGCCGCCTGGCCCAGCCCCGCGGCCGGGGTCGACCCGGCCAGTCCTTCCTCTGCGCGACGCCCACGTGCCTGCGCGGCTCCCCGGCCACCGCGGCTACCAGCGCCCCCAGGCGCGCGGCACCCGACAGGTGGCACCTGCGAGCCCCGCCCACCTCGGCCGCCCCGCCCCGCCCCGCGCGCCCACTGAGCATGCTCAGAGCCGCGGTCACGCGCCCGCCCGCAGGCGCCTGTCTGGACTGGGCGCTGGCCCGCGTCAGTCCCGGCCGCGGTTGCGGCCCCGGCCTGTTCTGGCGGCACCATGGAGCGCATCGAGGGGGCGTCCGTGGGCCGCTGCGCCGCCTCGCCCTACCTGCGGCCGCTCACGCTGCACTACCGCCAGGTGAGCCCGCGCCCCCGCGCCCCCGCGCCCCGGCGGCCCCGCCCACGACCCGCGCCCCGCCCTCCGCGCTGCCGGCCCCGCCCACGACCCGCGCCCCGCCCTCCGCGCTGCCGGCCCGCCCACGACCCGCGCCCCGCCCTCCGCGCTGCCGGCCCCGCCCACGACCCTCGCCCCGCCCTCCGCGCTGCCGGCCCCGCCCCGGAGCCCCGCCCCCGCCTCCTTCCGAGCGCCCGCGCGACCCGGTCTCCGCCCACTGGATCGCTGGTTCCCTGACCCACTGAGCCCCCAGGCCGGGGAGGGGCCGCGGAGGGACGTCTGAGGAGGGACCACTCATCCTTTCAAGGACGCTTTGCTGGGCCCCGTCCTTCCTGCCCACTCCGTCCGACCCTTTTGGCAGTGGGACTCCTGGGTTGCCCGGGCGATCGGGAAAGGTGGTGGCTTTCATGCTGCATCTCGAGGGAGGAGACAGCTGGGCCGAGAAGGAAGGAGCAGGGAGCGCAGAGGGAGCAGGGAGGTGGGAGAAGGAGCCGAGTGCGAAGTTGGGAGACCGTCTCAAAGTCGGCTCCCTCCTTGGGTTTTCCAGGGAGGGCATCTCCTTGTAGTCTCCATCTGCCTAAGCTCAGCCTTCCCCACCTCCCCGGGTGTCACCTCCTCCCTTGCCAGTCCCAGGACTAGGGGCTGTGCTGCCTGACATGGCACCAGGCACGTGGTAGGTTCAAAGAAATATTTTGTTTTATTTTTGAGACAGGGTCTTGCTCTGTCTCCCAGGCTGGAGTGGGCTGGCATGATCACAGCTCACTGCAGCCTCGACCTCCCGGGCCTAAGCGATCCTCCTGCCTCAGTCCCCCCAGTAGCTGGGACCACGGGTGCACACCACCACAGCCGGCTAATTTTATTTTATTTTTTGTAGAGAGAGGTCTCACTGTTGCCCAGGCTGGTCTCGAACTCCTGGCCTCAACTGACCCTCTTGCCTTGGCCTCCCACAGCAAGGGGATTATGGCATGAGGCATTTGCTGGGAGAAGGAGTTGCTGCTGCCATCCTCTTCCCTCATCCAGTGGATCACTGAGTCCCGGTGCGCTTTCCTCCATGCCCAGCCCTGTCTGGCTTGGCTCCCACCTTTTGCTTACATGCCCACCTGCCCCCAGCAGCTCTTCCCTCTGCCAAAGCTCCTCCATGCCGTTTTGGCAAACACCACAGTCTTCCTGGCCACAGTCAGTCCTGCCCCCTGCCTCTCTGTCAGGTCAAGTGGTCCAGGTCACGGTGCCTCTCTGCCTGCCTGCCTCCCCCAGGGGGCACCCTGTTCCCACCATCACGCCCAGGACCCTGCCTCTCACCATCCCTGTGAAGCCCTCTTGGCCCCCAGCCTGAGAGAGGCCCTGTGCTCCTCACCTCCCTGTTGTGGGAGTCCCGTTGGCTCTGGAGGACACGGGATCCTTCTCCCCAGAGCAAAGCTGAGCTGGTGGCACTGGCAGAGGGTAGCTGGGGTCAGTCGAGGTGCAGCAGGTGGGGACATGGGGTCACTGCCCTTTTCCCTGAAGTTGGCCATACGGGATGCTACCTTGTTTCTCCACAGCCCCCCAGGGCTGGGCCTCAGCTGCAGGGGGTGCAGGTTGGCCCAGGCAGGTCCCCACTGTGGCCCTGGTGGCAGTACTCTCTCCCCCACTGCCCCCTGGAGCTCGCAGGGCAGACCTCGCAGCCTCAGAGGGCAGCCCACTGGCACAGCTCTGTTGAAGGGTGCTGGGAACCAGAGCTGAGCTGGCGTGGGCTGTGGCTATGGTGGACACGGACAGGCTCAGGCCACTCAGGCGGCATCTCCTCAGGGCCAAGGGACACCGGGCTGGACACTGCCTGCCACCCAGGGACAGCTGCAGCCCTCAGTGTTTTGCTGGGTCCAGCCAGGGGAGGCCTGTGAAACCAAAGGCAGGGGAGCCCATGACTCTGAGGCAGAGGTGGCCTTGTTTGACCAGCCCTGCCCTCTCTCCCAGGCCTCAGTGGCCTCCCTGAACCTTCCTGCACCTTGACTTGGCTGGACCTAAGGGTGTGACACACTTTTGAGCTTAAGCCGAGAGGGTCCTTGAGACCTGCACGTGAGGGAAGTGTTTGTGGTGGGGAGGGGCATGGCACAGAGCCATGTAGCAGACTGTGGGTAGGGGGCTTCCCTGGAGCCTGCCCTGGGTGGGTGGCTGGCTCTGGGGTGGCTGGATGTCAGGCAGGCCTGGGCTAGCCTCCTGGGAGTAGTGCCCCATGGCCTTTCGGGCAGCCTGACCTGCGCAGGACACCAGCCCTCCTTTCCCCTGGGAAATCGGCACTCTCCTCCTAGGACTCCTCTGCCTCCCAGCTAAGCTCAGAGGGCCTCTGTGCCTCTGCCTGCCCACAATCCCTTCCCTCACCTCTGTCACCTTCTCCAGGAAGTCCTCACAAAGGCTTCTTCCTTCTTCTGCAGTCCTGGCTGCATTTTCTGTGTCCCTGCTGCTCAGGCCTCTGTCCGTTTCACAGCCTGGGCAGAGCCCCCAGGGTGGGACGAGCAGCTGGCCAGGGCCTCAGGGCTGACCCAGTGACAGAGTAGCGGATTAGCCAAGCATGCTGGAGATGGGACCCCGCGGAACCCCGGCCCAGCCCCCAGGATGCGAGTGCATCTCAGAACCCCATCAGTGTCAGTTCCGGCCTCCCCCTGCAGGCCCAGCCCACACGCCTGCCCATCCTGCCTTCTCCGTTCACTCAGTGCCACCAGCGTGTGGAGGCCCACCAGGGCAGTGTGCCCAGTGTGGGGGAGTGGGAAGGTGGCGGACTGCCACAGGAGAGCAGGACCACAGCGTATGTGGGAGAGCTGAGGCCAGAATCTGGAGGTGGGAAGGGGGCCCAGCCTGGTCACCATCACTGAGTCACGGAGTCCTGCAGTGTGATCTCCCACCTGGCCGGGTGCCACTCTGCCCCATCTGCTCCTGGTGCCTGCCCCTCCTGCCCTCCCATCTTCCTCTGTTCAGTGGCCCAAGGAAGCTTCAGCAGGAAAACCTGACCTCTCCCCTGCCTGCGGGGGCCCTCCCTGCCCTGCTATAAGGAGTCATGCCTACCCTCTCCCAGCTTCCATGAGCCCCCTACACTTGGTGACTGCGTATGTCTCTCTGCAGCCCTGTGTGCTCAGTCTGTGCCAGGCAGTGTTTCCTGGGGTGCCTGAACGCCTCCCGTGCCCTTTGCCTGGTCTCCTGCCTCACTCCTGGGCCTCCCTGCCCCTTTAGGGCCATTTGATCCTCTGCCCACAGAAGCTGCAGCTCCTGGCTCCCGTGGTCCCAGCCTGTGAGCACATCTCCCTGGTTGGGAGTGGGTGCAGCCTCTTCGGTTCCCCAGGCACCTCTGCCCAGCCTGGCCCGTCCTGACCACTATCCTGCCTCTTCCAGAATGGGACCCAGAAGTCATGGGACTTCATGAAGACACATGACAGGTGAGAGCCTGGCCCAGCCCAGCCACTGGGGAAGCCCCACATGATGCCTAGGGGACACTGGGCCCAGGGGAAACTGGGCCTCAACCATCTTATCTGAGCAAGGGGCTTGACCTCCCCAGGCTGCTGGCAAGGTGGTGGGATGGGCCCCACTGGGAACAGAGGATGGGAGGTGGGGCGCCAGGCACGGCCCTCCCTGATGTTTCTGTTCCCTGTGTGGGCCCCCAAAGTCCTCTTGACCTCTAGGTTTCCTGTCCCTGAGGGGTCACCCTGAAGCCTGGGGAGTGAGTTGGGTCCTTGCTCAGGCTGCTGGGACCATGATGGCAGGCAGGCCTCTTCGGGCAGGGAGAGGCCAGCCTGGAGCCTTCGCCCCTGGCATCCAGGGTCTGGGCTGGATGGCGACATGGCTTGAGGGGTGTGGCTGGTGGGCAGCTGGTCAGCAAGGGCCAAACGTCCTGTCAGTCACCCGGCCGCAGCTGCTGGCACCCTGACCTAACGCAGCTGCCCTCGTGTCCTTCCCTGCCCCCGCCTCCTGTCCTGCCAGCTGGAATACAGCAGGTCTGGGTCCTGGCCGGACCATGACCCTGGAAAGCTCTGGCCCTGCCTGGGTCTCAGCCATCCTATCTGAGCAAGGGGCCTGACCTCCCTGGGCTGCTGGCAAGGAGGTGGGATGGGTCCCGCTGGGAACAGAGGATGGGAGGCGGGACGCCAGGCAGGGCCGGTGGTTGCTTCTGTGCTGAGCCCCTCTCCCCGTGCACAGTGTGACCGTTCTCTTATTCAACTCTTCTCGGAGGAGCCTGGTGTTGGTAAAGCAGTTCCGGCCAGGTGAGGCCAGCTGGGGTGCGAAGGGGATCTGCAGGGTCCCTGTGGTCCTGAGGGTCTGAATACAGATGTGGGAGGGGGCTCCAGGGGAAGCTGAGGCCCTGCCAGGGGGTCTGGCTGAGTGAGTGACCTGGAGGTGGCCGCCACATGGCTGTGAGCGTGGTCTGGCTTCCTCCCACGCAGCTGTGTATGCGGGCGAGGTGGAGCGTCACTTCCCAGGGTCCCTAGCAGCTGTAGACCAGGACGGGCCCCAGGAGCTGCAGCCAGCCCTTCCTGGCTCAGTGGGGGTGATGGTTGAGCTGTGTGCCGGCCTTGTGGACCAGCCTGGGCTCTCGCTGGAGGAAGTGGCTTGCAAGGAGGCTTGGGAGGAGTGTGGCTACAGCTTAGCCCCCTCTGATCTGCGGCGGGTCGCCACGTACTGGTGAGTGGGGCCAGGCCCTCCGGCCTGTGGTGTGGCTCAAGAGATGGGAGAGGCTTCCTGGGAGAGAGTGAGTGCCCCATCCTTGGGGGTGTGCAAGCAGGATGGATTCCTCCTTGTTTTTCAATGTGGGATTAGGACAGAACGTGCCTCAGATCCTCAGCCAGGCCGGAACCTGGGCTCTTGGGGCTCTCTCTGGAGCGTGCTGGGCCCCGTGCCCCCAGCCTGCGGCCCCCAGCCATGTGGGGCCAGGCCGGGTGGCAGCTGCTGCTGACAGATGCCTCTACTTCCTGTGGGATTAAGACCCGGCGCTGGGGGTGGGGGTGAGTCACAGCTCTGTTCTCAGAAGGTGGCTCAGGAATGAGGGAGAAACTGTCCTGGGCTGGAGAGGAGGTGGCCCCAGCCCTCCTGGGGAAGAGACATAGCCTGGAGCCTGCACTTTGGGACCTGACCCCACCAAAGTTAAGGGTCTGACTCCTGTCCCATGAGGCCTGCCAGCTGGGGTTGCCTTCTCAGGACAAGAAGCCCATCCACTTCCCCAGGGACACGATGGACTCCTGACCCCAGCTGAGGTCTTGGGGAAGAGGAGGGTGTCACAGAGCCCCAACCCCACCAGCTGAGCACCAGCCTCCACGGCCTTCTCCAGAGGCCACGGTCCACTCCACTGGGAGAAGCACTGGGAGTCCCTGCACCTGTCAGCCTGGCACATGGGCCACTTGGGGTTGAGCCTGGGGCGCTCCTGCCTTGGCAGCCTCAAGGGCTTCACCTGGGCATGCCCCTGGCTGGGTGGGGTGGTCTTCAAGCTAAAGGCAGGATTTCCACGCTGAAGGGTGGACTTGGGTGTGAAGGGTGGGGCCTCGGTTTTCTGTAGGTGTCCACCATGCCCACTGTGCCCCGCCTCCCCGGCCCGTGGTTCTGAGCACAGGAGGCATGGGAGGGGTTAGAGTCCCCTTGGTCCCCCTGGAGGAGGTGGCCTGGGCAGAGTCCAGGCAGAGTGCTGGCAGAGGGGCTGCACGGTGAGGGCTCTCGGGCCAGTGGTCAAGCCGCCGGGCTGCAGTGGTTCTGCTGGCACAGCCTCTGGGCCACAGCCTGATTGTGAGGGTGCTGGGAAGTGAGCAGTCTGTGAAGACTTGCATCGTGAAGGGCAGGCCATGGCTTCTGGGACACAGGACTGGAGATGGGGCTGACGGGGGGTCGGGCGTCTGCCTATGCGGGCCTGAGCAGGGCTGGGCTGACAGCAGAGTCCAGCCACCCAGTGGCAGAGCCTGTGGCTCCTCTGATTCTGGAGGTGAGCCAGGCCCCTTACCTGCCGCAGCAGAGGACAGGGCCCAGGGAGGCAGTCAGCTCGGGGCGTGATGGAGTGAGGTTGGAACGTGCCCAGGGGTGGGGGAGGTGTGGCCCAGCCTAGCTGGCAGATTCCTCTCAGCCGGGCCAAGGGCCGGCCTGTCTCCTTCACAAGCCGGCGGAAACTGGGGCTGGAAACCCCAGACCTGCCACTTCCCTCAGAGGCGCTGTGGTGGCCGCCGCCGGAAATGGGCCATCAGGAAGGGTCTGCGGGAGGTGAGGGGCTGGAGGGCGAGGAAGCAGCTGGGTGAGGTCGGTCTAGGGTGGGTCCCCATCCTGGGGGTGGGGAGGCCTTGAGGGTGGGTACATCTCAGAAGGTGGTGGTCTCTATCCTGCAGGCCTCCGCCAGCCTCAGTTCATGCCACCTGACAGCCCCTTCTGGGGCAAGCCAGGGCTCCTCCGCCCCTGGCCAGCTCCCCAAATGCCCCTTGGTCCCGTTTTTCCCTAGATCCACACCTGGCCCTCCCCCTCCTCCTGCAGAATGCAGCCTGGCCCCCTGCCATCTCTCCTCCCAGCCGTGGCCGCCCTCCACACAGCCAGTCCAGGCTGCTGCCCTCGGTGCCTCACCCTCCTGACGGCTAGCAGCCCACTTCTGGCCACTGCCCACTGAGTGAGGGGGCTCCCTCTCACCCCTCCCCAGCCTGGGCCACTGGGCCTGGTGCTGGGGACCTTGCTGCCACCCTGCCCCATACTTCCATGCCTCGGGGGTCATCGCATGCTGTCTACTGTCTGGAACTCAGGTCCCGTGGGGCGCCCTGCGGGAAGGCTGTGCTGGGCCTGCTGCACTTTTCCCTGCTTCCCAGCCAGCCTGTGTCCTGGGCATGGGCTGGGGCCGTGTCTGTGCCTTGAGGACACCGGCCACCCACTGAGGAGCTCTGACACCGGGAACAGCCGCAGGGTTTCTGCGCTGGGGGCTGCAGATGCGGGGGGGGGTCTTCTGCTCAGGGCCTTGCCAGGTTGCGGGCAGGGTGTCAGCGGATCTGCCATCTCAGGGCGGTGTGGGGTTATGGCAGAATTCAGCCCCCGGTGGCCAGGGACCTAGGGCTCCCTCCCACCTCCCAGTGTGGCCGCTGCTTCCTCCGAGGGCTGGCAGCACAACTCTGGATTTCTCTCCCTTTGATCTTGAAACACTGCTCCTGAGAGCCTCCCGACCCACCTGGGGCGCTCTCCCGTTTCATGGGCTCAGGTCACTTGTTAGGGTCCTTAATCACGTCTGCAAGACCCTCCCTGCCTGGCGAGTTCAACCTGCTCAGGGGAGGGCTGCCCCACTCAGGGAGGGGCCGCAGGCGTGCACTCCGGGTGGGCATCCGGGCGGGAGAGGCCATCCCAGAGCTCTGCCTGCTGGAGGGCAGTGGGAGCAGGGTGGAGAGGGTGGGTCAGAGGGTGGTAGGAGGGGTGGGGCCATGGGACCAGTGTGGGTGGCTCAGCAGACCCTGTCTCAACCCATAGGTCTGGAGTAGGGCTGACTGGCTCCAGACAGACTATGTTCTACACAGAAGTGACAGACGCCCAGCGCCGCGGTCCGGGCGGGGGCCTGGCGGAGGAGGGTGAGCTCATTGAGGTGGTGCACCTGCCCCTGGAAGGCGCCCAGGCCTTTGCGGACGACCCGGACATCCCCAAGACCCTCGGCGTCATCTTTGGTGTCTCGTGGTTCCTCAGCCAGGTGGCCCCCAACTTGGATCTCCAGTGAGATTCGGGGGTCTAGTCAGAGCCCCCCTGCAGACCCAATAAAGGCTTGCACCGCTCCAGCCTCTGCCTGCTGGCTGTGGGCTCTGTGACCAGGGCCTCGGAGAGGACTGGGGAAGGGCAGGAGCAGTGACTAACCTGAGATGGCCTGGGGACATGGTGAGCTGTCCAGCAGCAGCAGCCACTGGCAGCAGGCCATGCAGGTGGCCGCTGCGGGGCTGACGACAGGCTCAGGGATTCCACGGGCAGGGCTAGGCTGTGCCCCCTCTTGGGGTCTGTGCCTGGGGTGGGTTTGCTGCACGGCACGGAATTTCTCCATCTCTGACCTTGCAGAGTCAGCTGTGCCTGCAGCAATGGTGGCTGAGCCAGGACTCGGGAGTTGGGGTCGGGCAGGCAGCACTGCAGGCTGCTCAGGCAGAGAAAGTCCTCCCTGCTCCTGGGCAAGTGAGGGGTCCCCGCCCTGACTGGGGCTGGGCTAGAGCCACTCCACAGGAGCCCGGAGCCCAGGCTGCGCTGTGCCGGGTGCCCCAGTAGCTGCTCCATGCACCCCGGGCCTTGGAAGTCTTCGAGGGCACCTTCCTGGGCCTGCAGGGTATGCAGAAATGTCAGCAGGATTGCCTCAAGAGGAGGGGTGGTGGCACAGGGTGGGGACACAGGGCCAGTGGTCTTCTTGACATGGGCTGGGTTCGTGGTGCTAGCCTGGTCCTGGTCCCGGGGCATGGCCTCAGCCTGGCCCTCCAGCACCAGGCTTTTCCAGCCCCTGAGCATCTCTGGCCTGCATGCTCTGGCCTTGCCCTCTGACCTGTCCTGAGGGTGGGGCCATGGGAGATTCATGCAGCTCAGAGCTGCCTCCCAGGTACCCAGAGTGCTTGTGGGGCAGGAAGGACCCTGCTCACCTGGCCGGCTTCCTGGGCCACAGGTGCATAGTAAGGGCTCCGCAGGCGAATGGGCACATTGCCACTGGTTGTGGGCATTCGCAGGCATCACTGGGCCGTCAATCTGGGGCAGGGTCCTCTCCTGGACATCATTAGGTCCAGGTTGTGGCTCCCAGGAGGAAGGTGGAAAAGGGGACTCTAAGGGAAGGAAGCCTCAGTGCCCTGCAGGGTGGCATCCCCACATGACGCCCTGGCCGTATGGGGATCTTTAACCACCCTGGGTGGGGAAGTGGTGACTGACGCCCCGTTGTCATCCAGTACAGGGCCAGACAGCCAGGAGGCTGTGCCTCAGGGGCCCACAAAAGCAGCGCCACCTGTATGCAAATGCTGGTTGTGGCCCAGGTGGGGCCCTGTGGGCGCCAGCAAGTCCAGTGACAGGACTGCCAGGGAGGGGCTGTCAGGTTTGGGGTGTCTGGGTTTGGGCCAGCTTCAGCTTCACCCTACCCAGGTGAGGCCCCAGCAGGACATTCACAAGACAGGAGCTCTGCCTGGCCCCAGCAGCCCTGCTGTGCCGTCCTTACCTGCATCCGGCCTGGTAACCCCACGAGACTGTGGTGGGCCCTCCGGGCTGACAAGCAGGGGCTGCCCACTGCCTCAGAGGGACCTCTGGCGGGCACCAGGTGGGTCTGCCCCCTGAAGCACGGAGGGGACAGGTGACAGGGTACCTGGACCTGGGTGTAGTCCAGCCCCTCACTCTGCTCTGCAGCCAATGGGGCAGGCCAGCAGGCAGCACTGCCGGGCCTAATGGAGCTGGCATTGATTTCCGGCACTGGAGGGGGGTTTGTACCGGAAACTCCCCTCCCCGTCCGCTATATTTAGCACTACAGGGACCCGGCGGAAAGCATAGCTCACTCTGGAGCCCTGCTGGCTCTCCAAACTCCTGGCAGCCGGGTCCCCAGCCTGGTCCCCAGTAGAGCGCTGTGGGCCCAAAGCCCCGGCTAGGCTGAGCAGCTGCACCCTTGCCTTCTGCACACAAGCTGGGCACTGCCTGCCTGAGAGCACACCTGAGCCCCTCAGAGTGGGAGCCCTCCAGGGCGGGGCACAGGTAGCCCCGGGAGGCTGGAGGGTGCTGTGGTCCAGTGCGCCATAGGACAATGACAGGGGACCTTTCTGGAAGATACTGGGTAGCCTGGTCTGATGAGGGTTGGGGCTGGAGCCCTGGCCCTGCTGATCTCAACCCCTCACCCCCAGCAAGGTGCAGCGCCAGGGCAAATGGGTTTCGTGAAATCTGCGTGGGGCGCAAGGGTTCCCACTGCTGCCTTCTGGGGAGCTCCAACCTGGGCCCAGCTGCCTGGCATTTCTGGCTCAAGGGCTGCAGAAATTTCTCTAGGGAAGGGACCCCCTTTCCAATGCCTCTTCTGTCCCCTCCTTCCTAAGGGCAGGTGTGGTCACCTTCTGACCTCGGTCTTTCCTGGATGATGTGAGGTCCAGGGTGGCTCCTAGGAGAGGGAGCTGCCCTGGGCGGGGGTAGGGACTGAGCCCCTGGTTCTGTCCTGATGCTCACCCAGTGGCCCTGAGCCATGGGGACCCAGGCACGTCTCACTACAAAGGGCCTGGAGGGAGGCACTGGGGCCACCACTCCCTGCTTGGCAGGGCAGCCTGGGCTCTCTGTACCCTGAGGCTGGCAGGCCGGCAGCAGGGCTCCAGGCAGGCTGCGGGCCCTGCGTGTTGAGCTCGAGTCTGGAGATAAGTGTGCATCCCTCACTGGGGCCCTCCCTGCTGAGATGGCTCTGAGCTGGGGGCGCCTCGGCTGAATGCAGTCACTGCAACAACAGGCCCCACGAGCCCCCGAGGGTCAGCCGCATCGCCACAAGCCTCTGCATGACCAGCCTCTTCAGTCCTTTCCTCCCACAGCTGGCCAAGAGCAGGAAGTGGGAGCTGGACCCGGGAGAGGAACCTGGAGGGGCTGTTCCCTGGGTTCCCTCCTACCCTGGAATTCCCCACCTCAGTCCAGCTACCAGCCCCTCCCCTCCCCTGCACCACGCCAGAGTCCCCGACCTCACCCCAGTGCCTCTCCCCTCCCCACAGTCGGGTCTTTGGAAAATGAGGGTCACTGTGGCGCCCACCCAGCGCAGCTGCCTTGTGACCCTGTCGGTCTAGCAGGACTCTCGTGTCCCCACTGGCCTTGGGTTGTACTCAGGACCCTTACCAGGGTCCCACTTCTGTGGCTCAGGGCCTTGGCACACGCTGTTCTCAGCTCCTTGCCTGGCTGACCTGTGCCCGTCCACCCTCTGGCGGCCCCCATGCCAGGTTCTGTGTCACTTGTCTAAGTCTTCTACCCACTCCTGGGCTGGGAGCTCCTGAGGGTGTAGGGTGTGCAGGGGCCGAGTATCCCTTGTTCCCCACTTGGCTGAGTGCCCAGCAAAGGCACCCAGCTCCCCTCCCCAACCATAGTGGGGCAGTGGGCACAGGTGGGGATGGAGCCCTGGGCCTCTGGAGCTGGTCAGGGGGCTCCTCTGTCCTCCTAGGGCCCTCCTCTCTCAGGTACCTGAGTACCTACCCCCAGGTCAAAGCACAGGAGAGGTGGCATCACCATAGGGAGCCCCTCCACCTGCAGGCATAATCCCGGCCCACTCATGGGAAGGCGGCAGCTCTGAACACAGCTCTTACTTGGTGGGAGTCTCTGTGCGGGCCTCCTTCTGGCTTGTGTCTTCATCCCCACAAAGCCTACCCGCTACTAGGTTTGGGGTGGGCACTCTGTGTGAGCAGAGCCAGCTGAGGTGGGCATGGGGGGCCCTTTAGGGACCTTCAGCTGAGCCTGTGGCCTGGGTCCTGGAGGGGCTGCTAAACAGGGAAGGGGCAGGCAGACCCTGCGTGTGGGGTGTTCACAGGCCACTGCTTCCGTGTGCAGACTGTACTGGCACTCTTAGCAAGAGAGGGTAGTGCCTACATTCCTGCCTTCCTTTGGCCAGGTCCCCAGTGCCTGAATAGAGCCCAAACCTGTGCTTTCGATGCTCTCTTCCGTCAGCCCCATGGTGGCACTGCCACCCAGCTCCAGGCACAGGGCGGATTTGCCAGAGGAGCTGGGGGAGAGAAGACAGCTCAGTGATCATGGGGATGGGGTGGGGACCCGTTGGGTCATATGGGGATCTTGAACCACCAAGGTGACCCCTAGCGCTGGAAGGGACCACACTCAGTGGAGGAGAGGCACTTGCCGTTGGTATTGACCCTGTGGAAGAGCTTCGAGGTCACCCAGGGAGCGGGCAAGGAGGCGACAGAGGGTGGGGTGTGGAAGCTTGCGGACCAGGAAGCCTTCTGACCAGGGCAGTAGGGGGAGGCCTCTCTTGGGGTAGCCCTCAGGGACAGGCACTGCCGACCTTTGTCCCGGTTTCCCGCCTCTCGCCCCCCAAAGCCCAGACCTTCGGCCTGAGGATGTCCTGGGGGCATGGCCTGGCGACCCCCACGCCAGCGCGGAGCTGAGCAGTCAGCACCCCGGAGCATGTGTTGACTGGCTGCTGGACCCGCGCGCCTCGCAGAGGGGAGGGCAGGGGCGTCGGAGGGGCGCAGCGCCCCCTGCAGTCCACGTGGAGGCGGCAGGAGCAGTGCGGAGAGGGGGAGATTCCCGGAGGAGGTGGGGGGCGGGCAGTAGGGGCTGAGCCGGGCTTTGGCTTCAGGGCCGCGCCACCCCGCGTGGTGGCCCAGCCCTAATCCGAGCTGGAGGCGGCATCTCCCCTGGGACCACGAGGAGCGCGGCAGTGGTGCACCGATGGGAGGGGACCATACGGCAACCTCAGGGCGCCCCACCCCAGGCTCCTGACAACCGGAGGGAGCTCGGGCGGAGGAGGGGAGGCAGCTTGGCGATGCCGGCGATGCCGGGGCCCCCGCGCTAACCCCGAGGACTCGTGCCCCCGCCGCCCGGGCGCCCTGGGAGGCGCGCGCCGGGCTGGGGCGCTGGCAGGCGACGCCCTCCGCCTCCTTTAAAGCCTGGGGCGCACCCGGGTCCCCCCCCCCGGCCCCACCCCGTGGCGCGGCCCCGCCCCCTCATGCATATGCAGGTGCGCGGGTGACGAATGGGCGAGCGAGCTGTCAGTCTCTTTCCGAACTTGTTGGCTGCGGTGCGGGGAGCGCGGGCGCGCAGAGCCGAGGCCGGGAACCTCTGCCTTCGCCGTCGCCGGGTGGGAGCCGGGCCGGGCCGCCAGAGCGCGGCCGCCAGCTAGCCGGAGCCGCCGCCCCTGCACGCCCGCCTTCCAGGCCCGCGCGCCGCGGCGCTGCGCTCGACCCCGCCCGCGCCGCCGCTGCCGCTGCCGCTGCCTCTGCCTCTGCCTCTGCGGGCGCTGGGAGGTCGGCGCGGCGGCCGGGATCCGGGCGCGGGCGGCGGCGGCGGCGGCGGCGGCGGCGGGGCCGGGCGGGCGGGTCGCGGGGGCAATGCGGGCGCAGGGCCGGGGGCGCTTGCCCCGGCGGCTGCTGCTGGTGCTGGCGCTCTGGGTGCAGGTGAGCCAGGCGGCGGGGGCGGCGGGGGCACGGACGGGGCGCACCGGGCCGCCCCTCGGGGCCGGCGGGCACTGCCTGGGGCCGCCGCGGTTCGGAAGCCCTCACGGCTGCGCGCGGCGACAGGGGCTCCAGGCGGGCGCGGCTGGGTGGGGGCGGGGCGGCGGGGCCTGTTCCCCCTCCTCTGGCGCCGGCCCGCGGACCCCAGCCCGCGCCTCCCTCCGCTCTCCCGCTGCCTTATTTTTAGGCGGCGCGGCCCATGGGCTATTTCGAGCTGCAGCTGAGCGCGCTGCGGAACGTGAACGGGGAGCTGCTGAGCGGCGCCTGCTGTGACGGGGACGGCCGGACAACGCGCGCGGGGGGCTGCGGCCACGACGAGTGCGACACGTACGTGCGCGTGTGCCTTAAGGAGTACCAGGCCAAGGTGACGCCCACGGGGCCCTGCAACTACGGCCACGGCGCCACGCCTGTGCTGGGCGGCAACTCCTTCTACCTGCAGCCGGCCGGCGCTGCGGGGGACCGGGCGCGGGCGCGGGCTCGGGCTGGCGGCGACCAGGACCCGGGCCTCGTCGTCATCCCCTTCCAGTTCGCCTGGCCGGTACGTGAGCTACACCCCTCGCGCTCCAGCCCTTCCCTCTCCCTCCGCACCCCAGCCCCGCGCGCTCCGCGGCCCCCCCAGCACCTGCGGCCGGGCCTGCGTGCGGGCCGCGCGCGCCCAGGCGGGGCGGGGGCCGGCAGGGGGGCGCGTGCTCTGGGGCTCGGTCCGCGCCTGGCCACGTGGGCGCGCGGGGGCCGCGGGGCCACCGGGAGCCGGGTCGCGGCGGCGGCGTTCCGCGTGCGCGGCGGCCTGCGGCGTGTGCCTGCGTCGTCCTGCGCGTGTCCTGTCTGGGTGGGGAGGTGAGGCGAGGCGCCCCTGTCCCGGGCAGGCTGTGGAGGCAAGTGCACAGCGCGTGCTGGGGCTGGTCTAGGGCAGGCCCTGACGGAGCCGCCCCGGGACCGTGGCCAGCCTGCGCCTGCCCAGCAGTTTCCTGGATGCCCAGGGGGCACGGGCGGGCGCCATGGGACTTAGGCCCGGGAGAGTCTAACACATAACGCCTATGTCGGCGGAAGCCCCTGATCCAAGATCCCTCAGAAGCAGAGATAGCGGGATCCTGGTGCTGTGACCTTGTGTGGCACTGTGGGTTCTTTTTGGTTTTGTTATTCTTGGGAGGGGCAGAAGCTGAGTCGGGGTTCCCTGCTCTCCCCTGGGAGGTGGTTATTCAGGCAGGGGCCCTGGCCTGGGTATGCTGGGAGGACAGGTGTCCAGTGTCACTGGGAGACAGGTACTCACCCACTGGTTCTCGGGGCGTGGGTGGATAGCGGCGGGTGGGTAGCGGTGGTGGGGCAGGCCCGGGCCTCAGGCGCCTGACCTCATTGTTTGGAGCAGGGCCTTGCACCGGTGCTCGAGGTCCTTCTCTGCTTGGTCACCGTGTTGGGGGTCTGGAAGTGGGTGAGGGCTTGAACGAGAGGGCCATGCCCACCTGTGATCAGGGAGTAGATGAAGCTGGGAGCCAGGGAATGGTTCCAGCTAGCAGGAGGCACAGGAGTGTGTCCACCTGGTACCCTGGGTCCCAAAGAGATTGCGAGTGGAGGACAGGACCTGCCGGGTCTGGCTCCCAGTCCTGTGCTGTAGCTTCGGAGCCCTGGAAGCTGGCCACGGTCCCCTCTGGCCGTGTCCCCAACCCCTGAGCACCCAGCTGGGTATCCCTGACCCAGGCCTCAGAGTGGGGAAAGTGTCCCCCAGATGGAGAAGGCAGGGGCGGGCATGGGAGGGCCCAGGCAGTTGTGAGAAGCCCAGCCCCTCACCCCCACAGCGGCACAGGCAGGTCTGAGCAGGGCCCGCAGCCTGTCATCTGCACCTGGGCCTGAGCCAGCGTGGCCCCACATCGCTACCTGAGGATGTGTTTTCTGCTCGAGTTGGCAGCAGGGGGTGTGGGGGCAGGGAGGTCTTGGAGGAATGTGGCGGGCTATCGCGTGTCTGCCCTGGCTCTTCGCCCCGCTGGCCAGCCGGTCAGGTGTGGGATGGGACCGGGCAGGCCCTTGCCTTCCTTGGAGCCCGGGCACTGGGTTTCGGGGCCAGCTCTCCTCCCTGCCTCTTGCTCCCAGCCGGTTCCTCGAATGCCCCAGGAGGGGGCAGGTGGCCTGTCTCTGGGTGGGGGGGCCGGGGCAGTGGCATAGCTGTGTGTTTGGGGGCAGCCCTGGTCTCTTGCTGTGTGGCCTGCCTGCCAGGCGGGAGCAGAGCCGTGATGCCAGCATTCCTGTATTTTCACTTGGGCGATGGCAGCCCGTGGCCATGCTGCCTTGGCTTGCCCAGGGTCCAGCTCTATGCTGTGAGCTGAGGTGACAGGAAGGTAGGGACTGAGTTCAGAATCCCTGGGTCCTGCTGAGGGTTTCAGCTGGAGGGTAGGGTGGCATCCTGCCCAAGCCTGTGGAACTCTTGGGCTCCCTGGAGTAGGGGGTATGAGAGAGCCTTCTGGAAGAGGAGTGGGGGCCTCTGGGCTCTGCGTGCACTCCTCTGCCCCCCTGGCCCCTGAGTGACTTTCCCACCCTGTGGTCTCTGCTGGTGACCCAGGCCTGACAGGGTGGCCCTCTGCCCCCTGGCCTGGTTTCTTGTGGCCGAGGTCTGTGTACTGTCTACGACTCATGGATCTGTGCTGGTCTTGGGCTCAGCTTCCCCCAGTGGGTGGGCCCAGGGTCTTGGACATGGAGAGGTGGTGGACTACCTGCCAGCGGGATGCCCAGGCCCCACCTCTCCTGGCTCCATCCCCAAACATCCCCAGGACCCCTGGGATGTCCTGGTGCCTAGCTTGTAGCTGGCAGGGTGAGGCCACATTCTCCCAGGTGGTGTGTGTACGCACCCCCAGGTGCTCTGTGGGCGTGACAGGTGGTGATGGAGGTTTGGAGAGTAGTGTCGTGGTGGGGGCAGCAGGGAGCTTTGTCCTGGGGCCTGGTAGGTGGCAGGCCTAGGGGGCATGTGCTGGCTGAGGGAGGAGCAGGGTGGTGGCAGTTGGCTGTGACCTGGGCAGCCAGGGCCCCACCCTCAGAGGTGGAGCTGGAAGCCACACCTGCCTGGCTGGCCCATCTCTGGAGCAAGGAGCCCGCCTGCGAGCGAGGGTCTTTCCTGCTGTGTCTTTTGCGTGTGTGTGCTGGGCTCCAGGGCAGCTATGTGGGGTGACGTGGCTGGAGCATGGTCCCCGTGGCAGATCTGGGCTTGTGGGGCGAGCAGGGCGGGTGAGGGCCCTGCAGATGTAGGAGGTAGGCCTGGGGCTGACCCTGTGTCAAGCAGCTCAGGAGGCCTGGGGTCCTGGGGCCTGGGGCCGAGCTCTTCTCACCTGTGAAATGGGTGTGGTGGTGCTTTTTCATTGGGGGTCTCATGAAATCAGATAAGGCTTCTGAGCACCCAGCACAGACTGTGCTTCTGCTCCCAGCCTGGCTGCCAGACCTGCCCAATTTCTCCCTTTTCCTGCCTTCCCTTTCCTCCCCTCCCTTACCCCCAGGGAGGAAGACTCTTACAGAATCCTCGCCCTGCATCTGGCCCCTCTAGGGCTCAAGGTGGGCCATGCTGAGGTCTGTGCTGCCACCTAAGTGGCTCGTGGCAGGAGTGTGGTTTAGCCCCACTCTGCTTCCTGTCTGCACTGAGCTTGGGGCTGGGCAGGCAGGGCTTTGGCCTCCCACCCTCCCTACAGGGTATCCCGTCTGTTGAGAACCACTCCTCCTTCCCACACTTTCCCATTGGGGACCAGGAGAGCTGTCTTATCTGGTATGGAATGTGGGTGTCTGGGTTCTTGTGTTGGGTGGGCTTTAGTCTGCTCCTCCTGCTGTGGCCCTGTGGGGGGACTCAGGGTGGGTCTGCTTTGTACATTGGGGGTCTGGTTCAAAGCTTTGGTATGGGGCAGGGTGGGGTTTTCAGTGCCCAGGCAACATGGAGACCATAGGAGCCAGGGAGGGCTGCCTTGGCCAGGGAGGATTGGGGAGTGGGCTGGGGGTTTGTCACGGGTTCCTCAGGGTGGGCTGGATCAAGGCTGCAGCGTGATGGGAAGGCAGCGGGGGCTGGGGGCTGCAGGCCGGGGTGGGAGGAGACTGTGGCTCTTGGGGTGCTGCTCCATGGTGTCTTGATGAGTTGGGTGAGCTAGGCCAGGAAAGGGGCATTTGCGGTGCCGGGCTCTGGCCTGAGTTGCTGGTGGTGGTGTGGGGACGAGGAGACAATTATCTGCAATCCCAGGCCAAGCCAGGGTCCCTGTCCCCAGACCCCAGGTCCGAGCGGGGTCCCTGTCCCCACACCCCAGGCCCGAGTGGGGGTCCCTGTCCCCAGACCCCAGGCCCGAGCGGGTTCCCTGTCCCCCAGGCCTGAGCAGGGTCCCTGTCCCCAGACCCCAGGCCCAAGCGGGGTCCCTGTCCCCACACCCCAAGCCTTAGCGGGGTCCCTGTCCCCAGACCACAGGCCTGAGCGGGGTCCCTGTCCTCCTTAGACCCCAGGCCTGAGTGGGGTCCCTGTCCTTAGACCACAGGCCTGAGCGGAGTCCCTCTCCCCAGACCCCAGGCCTGAGCAGAGTCCCTGTCCTTAGACCGCAGGCCTGAGCGGAGTCCCTGTCCCCACATCCCAGGCCTGAGCGGGGTGTGGCTGGCATCATCCTGGGCTTCGTGGCAGGTGCTAGCAGGCCCCAGCTGACCGTCTTCACAGTGGGGGCTCTCGGACCTGGAAGGGGGTGTGCTGGGGATGGTGGGGTGCACCCAGGCAAGGCCCTGGCTGGTTTTTGGTGTGGGGCATCCTGTCTGGGTCCCTGCATGGGGTGGGCTTTGGTCTGCTCCTCCTGCTGCGGCCCTGGAGCCCTTAGCCCAGGGGATGCTGTTTGCCCCTGCCCCCTCTTCCCTCCCTCGGGCGACGATGATGGCAGAGGCCTGGGCCTCTCGGAAGCTCAGGTTTCAGGAAATGTTATCTGCGCTTACAGCTCCTGGCGCCTGCATCAAGCTCTGCGCTCCATGGGGGGCGGGAGGCTGATGCGGGAGGCTGAGGGAAGAAACCAAGTTGGGCGTTGGCTGGGGCAGCAGGGGGAGGAGGCTGTGTTGGCCTAGAGAGTCAGGGCCCTGGGCTATTGGGGTCCTGGACCTTGGGTGCCCTGGGCTTTGGGGTGCCTTAGACCTGGGTGGCCTGAGTTTTTAGATGCTGTAGATTGAGGGTACACTGGACAGTGGGGTGCACTGGACCTAGGATGCCTGGGCTTTGGAGCACCTTGGCTTTGGGGTACCCTGGGTCATGAGGTATGCTGGGCCATGCAGTGCTTTGGGCTGTGAGGTGCCCTGGACTGGGGGTGCACTGTGAGCCACAGGGCTGTGGGGTGTACTGGATCTAGGGTGCCCTGGGTTGTGGGATGCTTTGTGCTTTGGGGTTTCCTGGACCTGGGGTGTACTGCGCTTTGGGGTGCCCTGGACCTTGGGGTGTGCTGGGCTTTGGGGTGCCCTGGACCTTGGGGTGTGCTGGGCCCTGCAGTGCCTGGGCTGTGGGGTGCCCTGGACCTTGGGGTATGCTGGGCCGTGCAGTGCCTGGGCTGTGGGGTGCCCTGGGCTTTGAGGTACCCTAGGCCTAGAGTGGGACATCTAATGCCGTGTCTGCTTCTGTGACTTGTGCCCCTGCCTGGGGACAGGAGGAGGGTTTGGACTTAATCTTGGGGGGTTGGGCTATGGAGGAGGCGGTCAGATAGTGTGGCCGGGTTTGCAGGGAGAGGCTTAGCTGGGCCTGCAAGGATGAAGCCCTTCCCCCGTGGCCTCCGGAGGCTGGTCGGGGTATAGCCTCGCTAGACTGGCCTCAAGGAAGGGCCTGGGTTCCTCTTCCTGCTTGCTGGGGAACCTGGGCAGGTGGTGGGTCTCTGACCTGTCCCCAGAGCCCCCAGTCCACCCTGCCCCTATTGCCCCTGCTGGCCCCAGGCCCACATCTCCACAGGCCCCAGCCCCATTCCTAGAAGGGCACAATATGCCCACCCCCCAGCCCCCCCAACCCAGGCCCTCGTGTCCATCCTGTTTTCTAGGGGTTTGGTGTTGATGAAACCCTGTCCTAGACCGTGGCCCACCAGCAGGAAGGACAGGGTGAGAGGTTGCTGTTTGCAAAGCAGGCGACTGAGTCCTGGAGGCTGGCCCCTGGGGAACGAGAGGGGCCGGGAGGGCGCGGCAGGTGGGGTGAGGCTGCAGGTGCCGCCCTGTGAGCCGGCTCAGGTTCTCTCTGGATGACTTCTTGCCATCCAGGTGTAGGCACCCCAGCTGGCGGGCGGTGGGGCCCTCTAGGCGGCGGGCAGGCGCACGTCCCCGTGGGAGCACGTAACCAGAGCCCTGGGCTCAGGCGAAGGTGGCAGTAATCCTACCTGAGCGGCTGGCATGGGGTTTCCTGCTGGCCCTGAGGCCCAGGTGTGGCTGTGCCGGGAGACCAGGAGGCCTGGCCTTCCTCTGCCTGCCCCGCGGCCAGAGCTGCTCTTAGACCCATGGTGGCCCCATCCTCTCACCCCACTGTTGCCGCTTCCTGGCCCCGCTGGCTCCTGTCCAATGGCTAGAGTGACTCGTAAAGCCTGGCAGGTCCCAGACCTCACTCAGACCCCCAGCAGCCCCACTTCGCTTAGCCTCGGGAAGGATGTCCGTGCTGGGTGCTGGGTCTACGGCGTGACCCACAGTCCCTGTGGGCTCTGCGCTCCTGGCCCCTGGGCCTCCTTGTAGGGTCTGCCATGCAGCTCCCTCACTTCCCCCCAACACCCTGCAGCCTCAGTCCCAGGCATCACCCCTCTGAAGTCTGGCCTGGCCTTTTCTTTTTTTGTTTTTTGAGACTGAGTTTCACTCTTGTTGCCCAGGCTGGAGCGCAATGGCGCAGTCCTCTTGCTTGCTGCAGCCTCTGCCTTCTGGGGTCAAGTGATTCTCCTGCCTCAGCCTCCCAAGTAGCTGGGACTACAGGCACCTGCTACCATGGCTGGCTAATTTTTATATCTTTAGTAGAAATGGGGTTTCACCATATTGGCCAGGCTAGTCTCCATCTCCTGACCTCAGGTGATCTGCCCACATCGGCCTCTCAAAGTGCTGGGATTACAGGTGTGAGCCGCTGTGCTGCGCTGGCCTGGCCTCGTCACAACGACAGCCCCTGCTCCCTGCCACTTTCCCCGAGCCTCGCTGGCCAGAGGTTGTCATCCTTGGTGGCAAAGCCGAGCCTGCTGCATCCTTGGTGTGAATGAAGGAGCCAAATGCCAGATGCCGGGAAGTGGCTGTCACCGGGCGTGGGGAAGGGCTTGGTCAGGTGCCGCCTTGAGGTTGGTGCTCCAGGAGGACAGGGGTGGACAGGCTGGAGCGGGTGGGTAGGAGCCTCGGAAGCCTCAAGAGTGCTCTGAGCTGGGGGGTTGTGGATGGCGCTGGGGGTGTGTGTGGACTGAGCCCTGTGGGGTGTGGATGGAGCTCTTGGGGGTACAGACAGAGCCCTGGGGTTAGTGTGGACTGAGCCCTGTGGGGTGTGGATGTAGCTCTTGGGGGTATAGACAGAGCCCTGGGGTTAGTGTGGACTGAGCCCTGTGGGGTGTGGATGGAGCTCTGGAGGGGTGTGGATGGAGCTCTTGGGGGTATAGACAGAGCCCTGGGGTTAGTGTGGACGGAGCCTCTCAAGGCATGTGGACATATCTCTGGAGATCTCCCGGTTCCTGTGGGCAGGGCTTTGTAGGCCATGATGGCCTCAGGGAGCCCTAGAGATGGGCAGCAACTTGACCCTGTGGCCTGGCGGAGCCATGTGGGATGTGGGAAAACAGGTTTAAGGGAGACTTGAGAGGTGGGATTGAGGACCTGGTGACAGCCTGCTGTGGCTAGGGAGGGTTCTGGAAGCCGGGTGGGGATGGCTCCCCACTTCTAGCCTGTGTTCCCTGCTCGTGCTCTGGAGGCGGGGGCTCAGGTGACAGCATCATCTGTCACCATGGCTGGTGTACAAGGGTGAGGCGTCCTGGGGGCAGAGATGGAGTGGCCATGGGGTAAGGCTATGCTGGGACAGTTCCCAGGCCTCTTGGCCTCAGTTTCCTCAACTGTACTGCAGGCGCCCCTCCTGCCCCCTGTCCTGTGGGGGTGAAGGGAGGTGTGGGTTTGCCCGTGTGCCACGTACTTGCAGGACCTGAGCTCAGGCCTGTCGGGGCCTCTGGCTGGGCACCCTCTACTTGGCCACCCCTGTGCACCTGGTGGAGAGCAGCCAGCAGGGCGACCGGGCCCTGTTCCTCTCTGGCAGGCTGGTGGCGGGGCCTCACATTTCCTCGAGTGGTCATCCCTGGTGAGGCGTTACCAGGGAAACGCTCAGGTCCCGGGCCTCTGGGCCCCCGTTATGGCTACTCCAGCCAGGCTGCCCCTTGCCCACCTCCCCCCAGTCGCTCTTCCTGTGCCCCATGCTGACTTGAGCCAGCTCAGGGCAGGCTGGGCCTCTGGTACCCAACGGTAGGGAGCCTGAGCCTCAGTGGCCCGGAGGGGTAGTCTCCCTTTTTGGAGCTGGGCCATTTTTGGTTCCGCAGAGGACGTGGCTTGAGGATAAGAGGGTGGTGGGTCCTGTGAGGACTCTGGGAGGGAGGAAGGGCCGGAGCGTGGCAGACGCAGGGGCAGAGTTGGAAGCCCGGGCCCTGTCCCACCCTGCACAGGGCACAGGTGCGGCCTCCGGCACCTGACGCACCCTCCCATGTCTGCAGCGCTCCTTCACCCTCATCGTGGAGGCCTGGGACTGGGACAACGACACCACCCCGAATGGTGAGTGAGCCCTGGGGCAGGCGGCCGCGCCTCAGCTTCAGGGCACTGGCGGCAGGGCCCAGGTCCTCTGCCTGCTTGCTACAAGGCCTTCCTTTACCCAGAGGATCATGTGTGCTGTATCCCTTTTTGCTCTGGCTGCCGGGAAGCTCCGCCACATTTGGGATTTGCAGAGCTGTGCATGCCCTTTCCTCCCTCGTCCCGGCTTTATCTACGTTGTTGTCATATTGGGTGTGCTCTTTTGGGGCCCATGTCAGTGACTCAGTGGAGGTGACACCCTTGAGTGTTTCTCCGGCTTTATGGCCCCCTCTACTTGTCTGTCCTGGAGCACGGGGCCTTGGTGGCTGTCTCCCTGAGGCTTGCCTGCTAGCTGACTGGCCTATGCAGGGCCCTGCAGGGGTAAGGCGGGGAGGGCTTCCATGGGTGAATGCAGAAGCACCCATAGGCCGAGGGAGCAGCTTGTGTGAAGGCCCAGGCAGGAGTGGGCTTGCTGTGTGGGAAGGGCAGGAGGGGCCCCGGGGCCATGCCCAAATCACGAGGGCTGGCAAGCCACTGAGAGGACACGGGCTCTGTCTTTGGGGCCAGGACAGAGACCAGGGAGGAGCTGCCACATGAATCTGGGCATGTCAGGGTGACTGACCGGGGCAGTCTGAGGGACGAGGGGCTCTAGCTGCTCTCGGAAGTGGAGGCATGGGGTGGGCCAGTGGGCTGGAGATGGTGAGAGAGCGGGGCCAGGGAATCCCAGCTGCCAGCAGAGTGGAGGCGCTGTTTACAGGGCAGGGACGGTGGTGGGGGTGTCTGGGTGGGGAGCAGCAGCTGTGGGGACCCCAGTGGCTCAGGGGAGGGGTGTTCCCTGAGGGGGTGGCAGAGCCACGGGTGGGCTGAGGCCAGAGCAAGGTCGGCAGGGCTCTTGACGATGTGGGCCCGGAGAGGCTGGGGCGGCCAGGAGGCCCTGTGGGGAGTGGGCCAGCACAGAGTCCTCCCAGGTCTTGGCCCATGAGGCAGGAGAGGTGGGGTCTGGAGGACCCCTTCACCTTTTATTGTGGAAAAAGTCGAAGCTGTGCTGAGCCACAGGGACTGGCACATGGACCTTGCCTATCAGCACCAGCAGCTGTGGCTGCCCCCAGCCCCTGGTCTCCCGGTGGCTTTACTTAAAGTGAGGCTTAGCCAGCAGGTCCCTGAACCTATGTCTGTCTTGGGGACCTTCGGGGAGGCTTGTTTGGAGGTGGGGACGGTGGCGGTGTTTGGCATTTGTGGGAGCCGGTCACAATGCAGGAGATGGGAGGGCAGTGGAGACCCATGCCTGTGCTGGCAAGGGCTGGACACGGTGCCCAGGCGGGTGCAGGTGCTGGAGCAGGGCTGCAGTGGGCGGGCACAGGTGTGGGACCCGGGACTCACACCCTGGCCGCAGCCGTGCCTTCTCTGTGGAGCCCGTGGTCTCAGCAGCCCTCCCTGCAGCCCCCCAGCTTCTAGCCAGGCCCCCTGACCCTCTGCGTTTAAGTGGGAGCAGGAGCGCAGGCTGGTGGCGGGAGGGACAGGCCTCCTGGGCCCTGAGCTTTCTGCAGCAGCCTGGCCAGTGGGCCTGCCCTCCTTGTGCTGCCTCCTGCTGTGCCGGCTTCGCTGTGCGGCAGACTTCTCCTGCCCCTCCCCATTGCCCCGGAGGCCACCTGGCTGGGTGGGTTCCTCCAGCCTGTGCTGACTCTGCCGCCCCCCCAAGAGGAGCTGCTGATCGAGCGGGTGTCCCACGCCGGCATGATCAACCCTGAGGACCGCTGGAAGAGCCTGCACTTCAGCGGCCACGTGGCGCACCTGGAGCTGCAGATCCGCGTGCGCTGTGACGAGAACTACTACAGCACCACCTGTAACAAGTTCTGCCGGCCCCGCAATGACTTCTTCGGCCACTACACCTGCGACCAGTACGGCAACAAGGCCTGCATGGACGGCTGGATGGGCAGGGAGTGCAAGGAAGGTGAGGGCCGCCGGGGAGGGCCGCGGGCCTCGGCAGGCCGGGCGCAGGCCCTGGGGCCAGCCGGCTGCAGCAGAGCCTCTCCTCCTCTCTGTTCGCAGCCGTGTGTAAACAAGGGTGTAATTTGCTCCATGGAGGATGCAGCGTGCCTGGGGAGTGCAGGTGAGTGCACTGCGGTCTGTCTTCGCCCTTCCGTCCCAGTGCAGCAGACGGCGCTGGCACACACAGCCTGGCTCTCAGGAGTCTCCTGGCGCTGGCTGGAGGTCGGGCACAGGGCGAGCGGGAGGCTCTTCAGTCAGTGTGGTAGGAATATGTCTGAGCCCGTATGTCTGATGATAGCCCCATGAGGACGGTGAGGAGATCAGGGGAGGCTGGCTGGACAGCCACGTGGCCAGGGGGCAGAGGCCTGGGGACTGCCAGCCACCCGGAGATGGGGCACAGGCAGGGGACATGGTAGCACTGCCCGTGGGGAGAGGGTGGGCGGTGAGAGGTGACCGAGCAGACGGGTTGGGAGAGAGGCCTGCAGGGCCAGGGAGGGAAGACAGGCTGCTGGCAGGTTGGTAGCTGGGCAGGGTGGGTGGAAGGGCCGTGGTAGCTGTTGCATGTGGAAACAGCAGACGGGAGGCTGTGGGGAAGAGGCTACGGGAGGAGGCTGCCGGGAGGAGTCTGTGGGGAGGAGGCTGCAGGGGAGAGGCTGCGGGGAGGAGGCTGTGGGGAAGAGGCTACGGGAGGAGGCTGCCGGGAGGAGTCTGTGGGGAGGAGGCTGCAGGGGAGAGGCTGCGGGGAGGAGGCTGTGGGGAAGAGGCTGCGGGAAGGAGGCTGTGAGGAAGAGGCTGCGGGGGGGAGTCTGCGGGGAGGAGGCTGCGAGGGGCAGGCTGTGGGGGGGGAGTCTGCGGGGAGGAGGCTGCGAGGGGCAGGCTGTGGGGGGGGAGGCTGCGGGGAGGAGGCCGCGAGGGGGAGGCTGCGAGGAAGAGGCTGTGGGGAGGAAGATGCTGCAGGGCACATGGGGGTTGGGGGAGAGGGGCCAGCGGGAGGTGGAGAGGGGCCTGCAGACACCCTGGGGTGGATCCCAGGGATTTGATAAAGGAGGAAGAGTGTGGGGTCAGGAAGACCCCAAACTGCTGAAGAGTGGACCCTCCGACTAAAGGAAGAGTGGCCACAGAGGAGCAGGCAGGGGCAGCAGTGGGGTGGATGGCGTTAGGGGGACGCCTGTCCGGCGCCAGGAGCCACTGAGAAAGCTTATGGGCGAGGACCAGCCCGAGCCACATTGGGGTGTGTGGCACTCAGGAGTTTAAAGCCTGGAAGGAGGGGGAAGATGGAGAGGAGGGAGGTTGAGGGGCCGGTCGTGGCCGCCACAGGTCAGGACACATAGAGGAGGAGCCGGCAAGGGCCTCCACGAGTGGCCGGGGTCTCGTAGCCAAGTGCAGACAGTGGACGCCTCTGGACCCGGACCAGAGTGTGGGGGATCAGGCTGGGGGGCTGGCATTGCCCTAGAGTGGAGCAGAGAAGTGGAGGGGCAGCAGGAGGGGCTGGGCCCGGAGTCTGGAGTGGGTGTGGGCTCTGATCAGGGAGCTTCCTGTCTATGAGCAGGCTGGGGAGCCCGGGAGAGGGGACGAGCTGGCGGGGAGAGCAGGTGGACGTGAGTGCTGCCCTCCAGCCCACCTTGGCTTGCAGGGGGTTCCAGGATCTCTCTCTGAGGAGTGGGTTTTCCTCCATGGGCGCTTCTCAGACAAGGACACTGGGGCACAGAGAGGCAAAATGATTTCCCCAGGGCCACACAGCCTGGTGTTTCCAACAGGAGGGGCCGAGTTTGGGAGCCAGGGTTGGGAGGTGGGTGGCTCTTCCGCAGGCCCCATGGCTGAGTGGCCTGGAGCCTCCTGTGAGGAGCCCAGTCCCAGGGCAAGGAGGCGAGCAGGGCTGGGCCCACCCACCCGGTCACTTGTGCACACAGGGATGCCCGGCCGGGTACGTGAGCCTCCAGTCAGGCCAGGAAGTGCAGTAGGGTGGGCCTGGTCTGGGCAGAGGCAGGCCTGTGGGAGTTGGCCTGTGCAGGCCACCCTGCGTGACCACACAACCTGGATGGCTGGGGGCTGGCAGCCGGAAAGTCCCACCGAGGCTGGAGGAAGGTGGCCTAGAAGTCGGCTGTCCCCGCCCTTCCCCCTCCCCCCCCCCCACAGGAAGATGAGGAGCAGGAGTCCAGGGGCCTGGTGGGTGGGGCAGTAGGTGAGCCCCGCCCGCCCCTCCCACTGGCCCTGCGGGGGAGGCCCAGCTGTTGCCGAAGCCCCAGCTCAGGTTCCAGCGCAGGACGCGCCCCCCCACCGGATGCTGCGGAGATGACCGTGCCTTCCTGCTGCGGCCTCTCCAGGGCCCTGGGGCTGCTGGCTGGGGAAACCGGGAGATGGGGGCCTGCGTGGGCTGCCCCGCCCTGGGTTGAGAGTACGCCCTTGGGACTCACAAGAGCTGGGCTCTGATCCTGACTGTGGCGCTCCCTGGTGGGTGACCCAAGGTGTGCACAGCCCCGCCCTGAGCTTGGGTCTCCATGTCCATGGAGGAGGGATGTGAGACCCCCCCCACATGGATCACTGCATTCTGGGCTGGGGACTGGAGACGCATTCTCCCCAGCCTCAGTTTCCCCATTTGTGGTGGCTGAGCTGGGCTGCTAGGCCTTTGGTGCTGGCTGTGTGGCTTGAGGGCAGCTCAGGAAGGGCCGTGGTTCTTTCCTTTTACAAAAATAAAGTGTGGCGGGTGCCGACGTGGAAGTGACGTGGCCTGGACGTCATTCTTGTCCTGCAGGACCTGAGAGTTCTAGGAAGGGCCCCCCAGCGTCCCGTCAGGGCCTGAGTGGCAGCCCGCTGGGCCTCGGCCGTCATCATCACAGGCTGGCGGCGGCACCCTTGAGTCAGGCCAGCTTCTGCCCTGGTCACCTTCCCCCTCCTGAAGGACCCCCAAGGGGGGATGTTGACTGATAGCCTATGGCAGGGCCAGGCCTGGGGGCCAAGAGGCCCCTGAAGGCCGTTTTCGAGGGTGCGCTGGAGCTTCTCCAGCATGTGGAACTAGCCTGTGCAGGGCTGGCCCGGGGCAGCCTGTGGGCCTCAGTAGCTCCATCTGTGAGATGGACACTTTGTGGGACTTTACTGGGAGGGAGAGAAATGACTGCCTTTGAAGTGGGGGTGAGGGCGCGTGCTGTGCCCAGGGCCACATGGCTGAGGCAGGGTCAGGAGTGCTCCCCTGCTGCCCACCAGCCTACCCAGCCCTTGGTGCTGCCTGGCCCTGGCAGCATCTGGTGAGTCCGAGCCAGCATTCTCATACCCGGGGTCCCAGCAGGGCCTTCCTTTCCTGGCGCCTGCTCTCGGGGCCCAGCTCACGGCTGACTCCCAAAATAGCTCAGGGAGGAGTGACGGGACAGCTGGGCTGACGTCAGCCGCCAGGGGCCGGGAATGCCCGTGACAGTGGGGCTGGCTGGTGGGGCCGTAACCCCTGCCTGGCTGGGGCTGCTGCAGTTCAAAAGCCTGAGGCCGCCCGCTGGCCCTGGGTGTGGCGGAGTGACTGCGTCTGGTTCCTCTGCTGCCCTCGGGCGCCACAGCTCACCGGGCCTCACGCCCCTCCCCTTCCCCAGGTGCAGCTACGGCTGGCAAGGGAGGTTCTGCGACGAGTGTGTGCCCTACCCCGGCTGCGTGCACGGCAGCTGCGTGGAGCCCTGGCAGTGCAGCTGCGAGACCAACTGGGGCGGCCTGCTCTGTGACAAAGGTGGTGGTGGGGTGGGGGGCGGGTTTGATGCTCACCGTCACATGGCGGGAGGCCGGGGAGTGGGGGCCAGGCTTTTTCCTTGAGCGTTCCCCCCGCCGCCTGCAGACCTGAACTACTGTGGCAACCACCACCCCTGCACGAACGGAGGCACGTGCATCAATGCTGAGCCCGACCAGTACCGCTGCACCTGCCCCGACGGCTACTCAGGGAGGAACTGTGAGAAGGGTACGCTGGGGGGATGCCCCCCAAGTCCCAGCCAGGCAGAGACTGGTTCCTTGGGGAGCCGGTGAGGCCCCATTCCTCTGGCGGCCTGTGTGGTGGGAGTCTGACCCCCAGCTTGCGGCCCCGTGGGCTTGGGGAGGATTTGTGGAAGGCTGGGGGCCCGGCCGCCAGCCTCCACCCCCTCTGTGACTCTGCAGCTGAGCACGCCTGCGCCTCTAACCCATGTGCCAACGGGGGCTCTTGCCATGAGGTGCCGTCTGGCTTTGAATGCCACTGCCCATCAGGCTGGAGCGGGCCCACCTGTGCCCTTGGTGAGTATCTGCACGTGGGCAGGGGACGCTGCCTGGCATCAGTGGTGGGAATGGGGCAGCTCTCTGAGGTGGGGCTCGGTGGTCAAGTCCACATGTGTGGCTGTGAATGTCTTGGCGAGGACAAATGTCAGGAAGACCCTGGCTTGTGGTCCCCCCTGCTCGCGGGGACCTCATTCCCATGGATCACAGCCATGGCCCCAACTTTCTCTGTTTTCTGCAGACATTGATGAGTGTGCCTCGAACCCATGTGCAGCTGGTGGCACCTGTGTGGACCAGGTGGATGGCTTCGAGTGCATCTGCCCCGAGCAGTGGGTGGGGGCCACCTGCCAGCTGGGTAAGGGCTCCGAGCATGTGCGCAGGAGCATGGGCTGTGCATGCGGGGCTGCTGGGCTGCGGGTGCTCCGGGTGCTCCGGGTGCTGCTGGGCTCCGGGTGCTGCTGGGCTGTGGGTGCTGCTGGGCTGCGGGTGGTCCGGGTGCTGCTGGGCTCCGGGTGCTGCTGGGCTGCCGGCACCAGGCGTGGCGCAGCAGAGCAGGCAGGGCCCGAGCCCATGGTTCCCCCTTGTCTCTTTCACAGACGCCAATGAGTGTGAAGGGAAGCCGTGCCTTAATGCTTTTTCTTGCAAAAACCTGATTGGCGGCTATTACTGTGATTGCATACCGGGCTGGAAAGGCGTCAACTGCCACATCAGTCAGTATGGGGGGTGGGCACTGGCAGGCGGGCCGCGGCGCATGGGACCCCACCTCTGACCCTGCTCCTCTGCCCCCAGACGTCAACGACTGTCGAGGGCAGTGTCAGCACGGGGGCACCTGCAAGGTGAGGTGGGGCCGGGAGGGTGTGTGGCGTGGGGACTGCGGGGCCCAGAGGGTGTGTGGCGTGGGGCTTGTGGGGCCATTGGGGCGCCTGCAGGAGGCTCACCCGGCTGGCCTGCCCAGGACCTAGTGAACGGGTACCAGTGCGTGTGCCCACGGGGATTTGGAGGCCGGCACTGCGAGCTGGAGCGAGATGAGTGTGCCAGCAGCCCTTGCCACAGCGGCGGCCTCTGCGAGGACCTGGCCGACGGCTTCCGCTGCCACTGCCCCAAGGGCTTCTCCGGGCCTCTCTGCGAGGTGAGGTGTGCCTGGCCACCCTGCCCCACCTGCTGCTCTGGGAGCTGTAGGGTAGGCCTCGTTATCTGATCACGGGGCCTCAGTGACCACAGGGTGATGCAGGGGTAGGTGTCCCCATGGCATCCCAGGCTTAGACCTCCCTAGGTGTCGGGTGGGCGGCTGGGGCTGTCACAGTCTTGGCCACCTGTGGGCCTTGTTTGTTGTGACGGGCCATCCTGGTGTCCTAGGCCAGGAGCCCCCCGCAGGCTGCTGGCTGCCCAGGCCCATCTGTCCATTTGTGTAACCCCTTGGGACTGGAGGGCAGGGTGCTCTGGTGGGCAGAGCACATGGGGCAAGGTGGGTGCCTGATGGTGGAGGAGCATGCACCTGCCGTTGGTAAGTCCTGGGTCCGAGTGAGCACCTCTCTCCTCTCCTGAGCATCTGTTGTGCTGGATACCCTCCCCCAATCTCTCCTTATCCCCTGCATCCAAAACCCCCGTCTCCCTCCCACCCCATACCCTACCGCCCAACCCTGCTTCCCTACTCGCTGTCTTCTTCCCACTCCCTCCCCCACCTCCCCTGACCCACCTCCCCTGACCCCGTCCCCCACCTCCCCACCACCCCCCTACCCCTGACCCACCTCCCCCCCACCCCTGACCCACTTCGCCCCCCACCCCCTCCCCCACCTCCCCCTACCCCTTCCCCCACCTCCCCTGACCCACCTCCCTCCCACCTCCTCCCCTGACTCACCACCCTCCACCCCCTCCCCCACCTCCCCTGACCCACCTCCCCCAACCCCGTCCCCCACCTCCCCACCCCCCCACCTCCCCTGACCCACCTCCCCCCCACCCCGACCCACCTCCCCCCCACCCCGACCCACCTCGCCCCCCACCCCCTCCCCCACCTCCCCCTACCCCTTCCCCACCTCCCCTGACCCACCTCCCTCCCACTCCCTCCCCCACCTCCCCTGACCCACCTCCCCACCACCCCCTCCCCCACCTCCCCTGACTCACCTCCCTCCCACTCCCTTCTCCACTTCCCCACCACCCCCTTCCCAACCTCCCCTGACCCACCCCCCTCGCACCCCTCCCCAACCTCCCCTGACCTACCTCCCCTGACCCACCTCCCTCCCACCCCTTCCCCCACCTCCCCTGACATACCTCCCCACCACCCCTTCCCCGACCTCCCCTGACCTACCTCCCTCCCACCCTGGGCAGCCCAAGACCCTGCCCTCACCTTGGTGTGGAGGATGGGCCTCCTATCCAGAGGGCTTCTTGGGGCCTGGGGAAGGGGTTGGGGTCTGACCTCAGGTCCTGTAAGCATGGCGAGGGCTGGCCCTGGAAAAACCCAGTCTTGGCTCTGGGGGTGGCCGGGCAGTATGTAAGGGGGTCAGGAGCTACTCTTCCTGCCAGCAGCGGTGCCAAGGCCTGACCCCTCCTGAGGGCTGCAGTGGAAGTGGGGATGGAGGTGAGGGTCCTCAGGTGTCGGTGTTCAACTGACAAGGCCTGGGCAGTCTCAGTTGGGCAGGGGTCTTGGGCTCTGGCTGGCACTGCCTGGGCCAGGGTGGAGGGGCCTGAGGTTCCCTGAGATCTGCCTTCCTGTAGCCACAGAGGCCTGGCCTGTGTCCCCAGCCTGGGCTCTCACAGGCGTCCCCCTACCCTGCAGGTGGATGTCGACCTTTGTGAGCCGAGCCCCTGCCGGAACGGTGCCCGCTGCTATAACCTGGAGGGTGACTATTACTGCGCCTGCCCCGACGACTTTGGCGGCAAGAACTGCTCTGTGCCCCGGGAGCCGTGCCCCAGCGGGGCCTGCAGAGGTGCTGGCTGCAGCGTGGGGTGGTGGGGGAGATGGTGGGGCGGGGTGGGGCTGACTCCCGAACCGTACTGCCCGCCACAGTGATCGACGGCTGCGGGTTGGACACGGGGCCCGGGGCACCTAGTGCAGCAGCCTCCGGCGTGTGCGGCCCCCATGGACGCTGCATCAGTCAGCCAGCGGGCAACTTCTCCTGCGTGTGTGACAGCGGCTTTACTGGCACCTACTGCCATGAGAGTGAGTAGCCAAGACGGGGGCTGGGCTGGGGCCGGGCTGGGCTGCGGCCCCGGCTTACCCGCTCGCCCCTGCAGACATCGATGACTGCCTGGGCCAGCCCTGCCGCAACGGGGGCACGTGCATCGACGAGGTGGACGCCTTCCGCTGCTTCTGCCCCAGTGGCTGGGAGGGCGAGCTCTGCGACATCAGTGAGTGTCCCGGCGCCCACCCACGTGGCCCATGTGTGCCTCCGTCCCTGTGGGCCCCTCAACAGCCCAAGGTGGGCACTGCCGGGCCGGTACCTGGAAGGGCCTAGGCAGAGGGTGCTGCTGCCCGGTGCCCAGGGCCAGCTCCCCACCCCCGATGCTCCTTCCCTGCCCCACTGCCCTCCCTGGCCCAGCTCCAGTGCTTCCTCCCCCGGGAAGCTCTCCCTAAGCGCCGGTGACCCCCCGCCCGCTGACCGGCGTCCTCGCCCCCAGATCCCAACGACTGCCTTCCCGATCCCTGCCACAGCCGCGGCCGCTGCTACGACCTGGTCAACGACTTCTACTGCGCGTGTGACGACGGCTGGAAGGGCAAGACCTGCCACTCACGTGAGTGCCCACAGGCCCCGGCTGCCGGCGGCTGCCCCAGGACCCTGGCCCTGGCGGTCTGGGGCCTGACTGCTGAGCGGCCCATCTGCCCACAGGCGAGTTCCAGTGCGACCCCTACACCTGCAGCAACGGTGGGACCTGCTATGACAGCGGCGACAGCTTCCGCTGTGCCTGCCCCCCTGGCTGGACAGGCAGCACCTGCACCGTGGGTGAGGAGCCTCCGATGCCCCTGCCGCCCCGGGCACGGGCCCTCCCAGGAGCTGCTCCCTCACGCATTCTGGGCCGAGGGGTCTTTTACGAGGGCCACTCCTGCCCCCTGCCCCGGGTTTCTCTGCCCTGTCTGGGTTGGGGGTGTGGTGTGGAGACCTGGGGCCTTCCCCAGGGCCAGGTGAGAAGCTTCCTCCTCCTCCTCCTCCTCTCCTTGCAGCCAAGAACAGCAGCTGCCTGCCCAACCCCTGTGTGAACGGGGGCACCTGTGTGGGCAGCGGGGCCTCCTTCTCCTGCATCTGCCGGGATGGCTGGGAGGGCCGCACTTGCACCCACAGTGAGTGTGGGAGGGCGCGTGGGTGGCTGTCGCTTCTCTCCACCCAGACACATCCTGCCCCCAACTCTCTCCCCATTCCCATGCTGCTGCCCCTGACCCCAACAAAAGGCGTCCTCCTTGATGGCCCTGCCCAGGCCCCTGACCCTGACCTCCCCAGCCCCACAGTGTGATTATGCTGAGACTGGATGGAGGTTGGCATGCTCAGGGCTGGGCACTGATTCTCTGCCTCCTTCTCCCAAACCAGATACCAACGACTGCAACCCTCTGCCTTGGTGAGTGGCACCCTGGGGCCGCAGCAGGGGCGGGACCTGGCCTACCGCAGGGGCCGCCTGACGCCCACCCTCTGCTCTGCAGCTACAATGGTGGCATCTGTGTTGACGGGGTCAACTGGTTCCGCTGCGAGTGTGCACCCGGCTTCGCGGGGCCCGACTGTCGCATCAGTGAGTGGCCTGTCGGGGGCTGTGGCCTCAGCCCTGGGAGCCCCTCCAGCCCAGCTGAGGAGTCTGCAGGAGTCTGGGGACATTAATATCTATATCCCTTGAAGGGCAGTATGGCCACAACCACTTCCTGCCTCTGAGCCTCAGTTTCCCCACATGTCTGTGTCCTGTGGGGTTCCTAGGGCATACCCTGCCAAGTGATGAAGTGGGGGGCCCCAGCCCCACGGATCACTCTGGGGCCAAGGGAGGAGAAGGATGGGAGCCGTGGGGGTTGAGCGGGTGGCCTGACGTGGGACCCTCTGTGGCTGGAGGGCTGCTGTCCTGGATGTCGGCCCAGCTGTGTGTCCAGCGCCTCTTGGCTGCTCTGACCCAGCAGCTGGGGCCAATCCAGGACGGGAGAGACCCACTGCAGAGGCAGATAGATGGAGGAGGGTGCTGTTGGGCCAGGGTCAGGCTGGGTTCAGGAAGGCCTTGGGCAGGTAGCAGCTTGGGCGGTGGGGCAGGTGGGCCCTGCAGGGCTGGCAAGGCCTTTGTGCTGGGGCTTGCGTCCGCGTGCCCTGGCTCCCTGCTGCCCTAGGCCATGCTGGTCCTGTGGTGGGCATTGGCTTCACTGTGCTGAGCAGCGGCCGCTCTCCCGGCAGACATTGATGAGTGCCAGTCCTCACCCTGCGCCTACGGGGCCACGTGTGTGGATGAGATCAACGGGTATCGCTGCAGCTGCCCGCCCGGCCGAGCCGGCCCCCGGTGCCAGGAAGGTAGGCCCTGTGTGGTTGCCGTGGGCTGGGTCGGGTTGGGGGCATGGGTGAGACCCGGCTCCAGGGCCAGATGCCCACTGCTGACCCTTGAGCCCCCTTTCCCCACAGTGATCGGGTTCGGGAGGTCCTGCTGGTCCCAGGGCACTCCGTTCCCACACGGAAGCTCCTGGGTGGAAGAGTGTAACAGCTGCCGCTGCCTGGATGGCCGCCGTGACTGCAGCAAGGTGCGGGCTGCCTGGGAGCCTCCCTGCCCTGCCCGAGGCTGGTGCTTGCTGATCTGACCACTCCATGATATCAGGAGGCGGGTGCTGGGGTCAGGGTGGGCTGAGAGCTATCTGCCCACCTCTGAGGGACACCCAGGGAGAAGGGAGCCCAGCTAGGCCCCACGCCTTGATGTAAGGTTGGGACGCAGAGGCCTGGCCTGTGCCCCACTGTGCTCCGCCTGCCCCGTCTGCTGTCCAGCCTGACCTGCCTCCCTGGGAGCCCCTGGGGCTTGCAGACCTGGGCGATGTCCCTCTGCCATGTGGGACCTGCACCTGCCTGTGGGTCCTGGTTCGTGCGCCTGCATCTGACTCTCCTGTGTGTACCTGTCCAGGTGTGGTGTGGGTGGAAGCCTTGTCTGCTGTCCGGCCAGCCCGAGGCCCTGAGTGCCCAGTGCCCGCTGGGACAGAGGTGCCTAGAGAAGGCCCCAGGCCAATGTCTGCGTCCACCCTGTGAGGCCTGGGGGGAGTGTGGCACAGAAGAGCCGCCGAGCACCCCTTGCCTACCTCGCTCCAGCCACCTGGACAATAACTGCGCCCGCCTCACCTTGCGCTTCAGTCGTGACCATGTGCCGCAGGTGAGGGACGTGGCGGCGTCTGAGCCTGCAGAGGCCACACACCTGTCGGCATCTGCTCTCGGCGTGGCCAAAGCCCAGCCCCATGGGGCAGGGAGGCCATTTGGCCGAACAGTCACTCTTGGTCACAGAGAGGAGGCCGGGAGAGCAGCCAGCGTGGGGTGCCTGTTGGTCCAGCTGTCCTGAGGACTGATGGTGCCGTGGCTGCCTCAGCCTGGGTCTTGCGCTGCAGCTTGACGGGCAGTTTTGCCCTGGCCAGGGACCCACCTTTGTCTGCTGTGTGCCCGAAGCTGGGTCTCGTCTCCTAGGAGGGGCTGCAGCTTGCTCTACCTTTACCCCCAGCTGCCTGCAGGTGGTGCTGGCTCCTCCATGAGGATGGGTGGGGGGTGCTGTCCCCTGCCTCCTGGTGCAGGGCACAGCCAGGTGGGAAGCTGCCCCCACTAGGCCCTTGGCATCTCTGCTCTGCTCTCCTGGGCAGGCTGTGGGGTGGGTCCTGCGTGTACCCACAGCACCGGTCCAGGGACATAGGTGTCAGGTTCTCGGCCCCTCCCTGCCCTGCTCTGCCCATGCGCTGCTATCTGTCTCTACCCAGGGCACCACGGTGGGCGCCATTTGCTCTGGGATCCGCTCTCTGCCAGCCACGAGGGCTGTGGCGCGGGACCGCCTGCTAGTGCTTCTCTGTGACCGGGCGTCCTCGGAGGCCAGCGCCGTGGAGGTGGCTGTGGTGAGTGCCTAGTGGTGGGCAGCACCTTGGCCATTGCTAGGCAGAGGCTCCGGCAAGGCTGGTCCTGGTGTGGAGGGACTGCAGGCAGGCATGTCTCCCCAGGCTGGGGCTGTGGCCCCTCGCTGCCCACACTACAGGCCCTTGCAGGAGCTGCTCCCTGGGCCCAGCCAGCATCAGGATGGGCAGGGCTGTGGGCTGGAGCCCGCTTGCCCTGCAGCTGTGTCCTCGCCTGGTCCCCTGCTCTTTCTGCCTCTGTGTCCTCACATCACAGGCAGCAGAGGAATCTGGGGGCTCAGGCCACCCTGCGAGGCTTTGGGACTGGCACCTGCCCCAGCTCTGGGGGGTGTCAGATGTGAGTGGGTACCAAGGGGGCCAGCTGAGACTGGGGTGGGCTTGTACTCAGAGAGGGGAGGAAATGTTCCGGATCATGGTGTGGTGGGGGCGGGCCATGGTGAGTGTGTGCAGAGCAGTGGGTGTGGCCAGGGCACAGTGTGGCGGGCAGAGGTCATGGCCAGGCACGGAGGGACACACAGTGTTTCGGTGTCCTAAAGCCACCACAGATGGGGTCGGGGACATGGGTGGGTGCTGCTGGGTGACGGAAGGGCAGTAGAGGCAGAGGACAGATGTGAGAAGTGAGCCAGCACGGGTCTCGGCACCATCAGGCACGTGGTGGAGACAAGGGCATAGCCCTGGGTCACCATGGCCTCGTGCAGGTGCTAGATTTGTGGTGCCCTTGGGGCGTGGCCCCTAGGTGGGGTAGGGGCTGGGAGCAGATGAGAAGGGAAGGGACAGCCATCAGAGCAGTGTCAGGCACCGTGGACGGCGCCACCCCCCACCCTCCCTCCCCCTCAACACACTCACTGCCTGTTATTGAGGTCCCCACCGCAGGACCCCAGGCTCTCCCGTGCGCCATACTCCCTTGTGGCCAGGGCCTCAGTCCTGGGGGCAGGCTCTGGGGCCCTCGGGTTGTCCCTGCAATGCTGTTCTTTGCTACAGTCCTTCAGCCCTGCCAGGGACCTGCCTGACAGCAGCCTTATCCAGGGTGCAGCCCACGCCATCGTGGCCGCCATCACCCAGCGGGGGAACAGCTCGCTTCTCCTGGCCGTCACCGAGGTCAAGGTGGAGACACTTGTCGTGGGAGGCTCTTCCACAGGTGAGGCGGGAGGTGGGCCTGGGAAGGCGCCAGGCTGGCAGCTTAGGCTTTGGGGCATAGAGCCAGCCTATCGTGCAGCCACCGGGAACACAGCAGTCCCTGATACCTGCTGCCCCAGCTGCCCGGCCCCCAGGCTCCGTCCTGGGACTCTCCCTACAAGCCAGGAACCAGAAGGTGGGTCCTGGCCGCCTGGCCCAGGCCTGGGTATGTGGCTAGCACCCTGCAGCCGCCCTGGCCTCAGTACCCACTGGCCCTTCTCCCCGGCCCCCAGGTCTGCTGGTGCCCATGCTATGTGGAGCCTTCAGCATGCTGTGGCTGGCATGCGTGGTTCTGTGCGTGTGGTGGACACGCAAACGCAGGAAAGAGCGAGAGAGGAGCCGGCTGCCGCGGGAGGAGGGCATCAACAACCAGTGGGCCCCACTCAACCCCATCCGCAACCCCATCGAGCGGCCAGCGGGCGGCCCCTGGGGCGGCGGGGGCCACAAGGACGTGCTCTACCAGTGCAAGAACTTCACGCCGCCACTGCACAGGGCGGACGACACGCTGCCTGGGCCAGCCAGTCATGCGGGCGTCAGGGAGGACGAGGAGGATGAGGACCTGGGCCGTGGTGAGGAGGACTCCCTGGAAGCGGAGAAATTCCTCTCGCACAAATTCACCAAAGATCCTGGCCACTCGCCGGGGAGGCCGGCCCGCCGGTCCGCGGGCCCCAAAGTGGACAACCGTGCGGTCAGGAGCATCAATGAGACTCGCTACGCCGGCAGGGAGTAGGGGCGGCCACCAGCTGGGCCGGGACCGACACCCTCGTGGGAGCCACGCCACCTGCCAGACCTGGAGGCCAAGGCCATGTGCATAGTTTCTTTATTTTGTGTAAAAAACCACCAAAAACAAAAAACAAATGTTTATTTTCTACCTTTCTTTAACCTTGTATAAATTATTCAGTAGCTGTCAGGCAGAAGACAATGGGGAATTCTCGGATAGTTGCTATTTTTGTAAAGTTCCCGCGCATGGCACTCGCTGTGTGGCAGGAGAGAGAAAGGGTGTCTGCGTCCTCACCAAATCGCGTAGCGTTTGTTACCAGAGGTTGTGCACTGTTTACAGAATCTTCCTTTTATTCCTCACTTGGGTTTCTCTGTGGCTCCAGGCCGAAGTGCCATTGAGACCCATGGCTGTGTTGCTGTGGCCTGTGGCTGTCAGTGGAACCCATGGCTGATGGTGTGGCCTGTGGCTGTTGGGACCCGTGGCTGATGGTGTGGCCCATGGCTCTCAGTGGGACTTGTGGCTGTCAATGGGACCTGTGGCTGTCAGTGGGACTTACGTGGTCGGTGGGACCCTGGTTATTGATGCGGCCCTGGCTGCCAGTACGGCCTGTGGCTGTTGGCAGCACCTGTGGTTGTCAGTGGGGCTTGAGGTCATCGGCGTGGCCTGAGGCCAGTGGGTCAATCTTGCGCTTGTTAGCCAGCCCCATCCCGCTGGCCGTCCGTGCTTCCTCCTGCCCGGAACACCCGCTCCAACGATCTCTCCACTGTGCTTTCAGAAGTGCCCTTCCTGCTGCGCAGTTCTCCCCTCCTGGGACGGCGGCAGTACTGAAGCTCATGACAAGTGCCTTCACATAGACCCCTTGCAACTGTCCATGTGTGCCGTGGCACCAGGTGCTGCCCCTTGCCGGCCCCGGCTGCCCCTCCTGGTGAAAGTGCATTTTTGTAAATGTGTACATATTAAAGGAAGCACTCTGTATATTTGATTTAATAACTTCAACACTCCAGCCTCCCTTGTTCTTTGGATGCTGTTCCTTTTGTATTTGGAGTCGGATTTGGGGAGAGCGACGCCAGCAGAGAGGCATGGGGCACTGGGCCCATGCTGGGTGTTGGTCCACGTGGCTGTGGTGGCTGTGGAGGGTGAGACGGTCCTGCTGAGTCAGGGCCTCAAATGTGTTGACATGCCAAGGTGGTGGACACAGGCTTGGCCAAAACCTTCCTGGGAACGGGAGAGGTGGTGCTGAGACCCACACCAGGGCCTGGAGCCGCTGGGAGAGGAGACTTGGGACAGTCTCCGAGTACCAGGAGCTGCAGGTGCCTTGCACTGGACCCTGATGACAAACAGCTGTTTTATAAAATTTCTTACCCACAAAGAACTATCAAGGTCTTAAGGAATTACCAGGTCAAAACTGTTATTCATTCATTCATTCATTCATTCATTTGTTATGCTTGTTCATTCGGACGCAAGGTCAACACTGGAGAGACTGCGGGCAGAAGGGAAGCAGCCCTTCCACCTGGCCCTGGAGCTGGCTTTGCATCTCACTGATGGAGCCACGTGGAACATGGCGTGGTGGCCGCAGGGCATGGAAGGCTGACTCGAGCCATCTGTGAGTGAGATGCAAGTCTTTACCCCGCTGTGAGGGGCAGGGGGTCAACACAGTGAAGGAGCAAAGCCAAGAGCCAGATCTGTACAAAAGGGAAGGAAAAAGCCCTGTGACAGCCGCGAGGGAGGCTGCCTTGCACAGGTCAAGCAGACGAATGGGTGAATGAATGAATGGCAGTTCTGACCTGGTAATTCTTAAGACTTGCTGGTTGCTGCAGAAGTTACTCTGGATGTCTGCTGTTGAGCATTGCTGCTGTGGACTCCGGAGGCCGTGCAAGTGAGCTGCGGTGTGTGCTCACTCCAGCGGGGGTCCTCCCCTCAGCTCCTCCACTGTGTTCAGCCAGGTATGCAGGGACACATGCTGGTAGGAGATCCTGCTGGCCGTCGGCTGCTCACAAGCCTGAGGCCTGTGTCCTCAGGGTGGGGACGGGTTAAACCTGCCTCCTGCCTTGGCCCCGAGGGGTTGCCCAGGTAGTTCAGGCAGAAGGGTGGCCCTGAGGAGTCATGGACACAATGGCTCCTGTGGACATGAAGCCCACGTTCCCACCAGGTTGCCCGGAAAGACGGCAGGTTTTGGGTTTCCGTTTAAACTGTTTCCCTAACTTGCAGTTCCCCGGCTCCTGGTAGGACCAAGTAGAAGTCACCTTTGTCCTAGGCCTGTATGCCTCGTGAGTGATGTTTCAGTGTCAGTGAGTAGACCACTGTCAGACCGAGCACATGGGACCTGGCGCCATGATTCAGAGCCGTGAGAAACCTGTGCAGAGGCGTCTGAGTGTACTGGGATTCTCCGACATGGATTGTAAAAAGCTTGCTGTGCTCCAAGACAGGCTTGGAAATGCTGTTAGGCCAAACAAACCTCAACCTAGTACCAAGTAGAACTTCTGGAAATGAAAAAAAAATGCAACCTTCAATTGAAACACTGCAGGAGTAGGTTGGCAGCCACTTAGACACTGCTGAAGGGAAAATTGGTGAACTAGAAGATAAGTTAAAAGAAGCAATCCAGGCCGCAGCCCAGGACAACAGATAGAAAATAAGCATCGGCAGCTGAGGAAGGGGACCCAGGTAAGATCCTGGTGGGGGCTGTACTGAAGTCCACGGGAGCCCATCGGGTGTGGGGTGTGCAGTGAGCAGGTGCAGCAGGTATAGCAGGTGTCACGGGTGGGGCTGGGTTGCCCAGTCACTTCTGCAGGAAGTGTCCCACAGGCCTGCCCCTTCCTGGTTGTGCCAGTGTGTTCCCCAGACCCTGGGGAAGCCCCTGTAGCCTCAGGGAGATGCATCTGGCTTGCAGTCTCACAGGACATAGTCTGGCCTCTGCCTGTATAAGGGTGTGCGGCTGTTGGAGGTGGAGGGGTAGCACTCAGGGGGCATGTGTGTGCCACGTGTGCATAGGTTGAGCTGAGAGCCTCTGCAGCTGCCCGCATGGGTCCGTTGTGGGCAGGCCTGCCTCCCCCTACTCTGAGCTTGCTGTCCAGTGTCCTGAGCCCACTGGGAGTTCATGGCTTCCTTCTACCCCATACTCAGTCCTAACCTCACTCAGCTGACCTTGTGCCTTTTCAGGCCTGGCTGGTGCCTGGCCATGTCCAGCCTATGTAGATGGCAGTGCCAAGAGGTCCAGGCCCAGCTGGCGGGCTTTCTGCTCACCATCTCACGCCATGCCAGGGCGGATGATGGGGCTCTTCTTCACCTCAGTGCCACCGCCCCCGTTGTGTGATCATGAAGCTGGGCTGGGTTCTGGCCCAGCCTGGCAGGGCCCACCCTCGGCCCCTAGACCACCTCCACGCCACCAGAGTGCCACTCACCTGCCTCGCAGTTTGCTATACTGAGGCCAGGGTCCACAAGCGAACGTTAGGCCCGAGGGTCCATCCTGCTGACACCAAAGCCTTGTTCCCTGTGGGAGGGTGGGTGGCTGCCCCTGGAGAGGGCGCTGTGTGGTCAGCAAGTCCAGCGAAGGCAGGCAGGCTCCCCGGCACCCCCAGGCTGGTGCCAGTCTCCTGGGGCCTCTCTGGCTGTGGCTACAGGAACTGGTGGCCACCCCCACTCTGGCCGCTGGGCCTGGGACCCCCTCTGCTTCTGTCTGCTCCTCAGGACTCGCAGGCGTGCCCTGTCACCTGTGCCCGCTGTGTCCTGCACTGCTGCGAAGTAGGGGGAACCCTGGCCTCAGTGGAGGCCCCTTGTTGATGGGTTGGGGCTCTGGGCCACCGTGTAGGGGGAGAGCTCCTCTGTCACTAGGGTACATGTCACCAAAGTGGGCTCCTGGGCCTCCCCAAGCCTGGTGGGCAGTGAGCTTGAGGGATACCAGGCTCAGAGGCACATGGGGAGGGGGCAGGGCCTGTCCCCACTGAGGTCCACGGGAGCCCATCAGGTGTGGGGTGAGCTGCTCCCAGCTGGGCCCATGGGCGACCTGGCTGTTGGCTGTGTAGCCTGGATGGAAAGGGTCTGGAGGCAGAGGGAACTTTGAGGTGGCCACTGTGGCTGGGGGTGCCTGGCTGAGGAGGGCCTGGGCAGCAGGTGCTCACTTAGGCAGAGGACACAGGATGCCACCACTATCAAGGCAAAGTGACCTGTGCATAGGGGCCAACCTGCAGGCCGGACGGTGCGGGCATACCGCGGAGACACCCGCATCCCTAGGCTGCCACACTGTCAGAGCAGGGAACAACACATCCCTGCCTGGCCTGGCCGGAGGGGTTCGTCCTGACTGCACCATCTGACCCAGCTTGGGGCCAAGTCACAGCAGGGGGCCTGCTATGGCTTCAGGGTCCCTCTCAGGCTGCGAAGCAGCGCCTCCCACACCCACTGCTGCCAGGGCCGCCCTCTGCATCCTTGGTGCTCAGCCCTTGGGACTACGCCTGCTCTCTCTGCTTGGCGACAGCTCTGACTGCCACGTTTCCGAAGAAACTGGGCCCCAGGGTGCAGAGAGGAGATTCCACACAGAGCCTGGTCCCTGGGGTGGCCACACCCATTAAGCCCTGCAGGCCATGCAGCACCACCGGTGGTGTGGGGCTCCTGATGGCCATAGGCCCAACTCCAGCTGCCCCAAGATCTGGCAGGGCTCACCCCTTCTCCATCAGACCCCCAGACCCAGGCCTTCCAAGGGGACCCCGATGTCGGCAGGGACCTGTGAGGGTTTTGGATGAAGAGCATCTGGATGCCTGGGCTTGGAGTTCTTTATACAAAAGGGGAAACTGAGGCCTGGGAGGAAGGGACCTGCTCTGTGACATTCTTCATGGCTCCCAGCCCTGGTGGATTCAGGGGCTAGAATTTGGGTGTTGGGGTGGCATTCTCAGAAAAGGGCAGCTACCAGGAGGCATGGAGCCAGGGGAGGGCTTGCTGGGGGCAGTAGAGTCACGGCGGCTCCAGGTTGGTGGCAGTGGAGTCAGTGCAGCTCTGGGCTAGGGGGCCTGGGTGGCAGCTGGGTAGCATGGGGGCCTCCTTCTCTGGGCAGAGAGGCCCTGTGGAGTGTCTGCAGAGGCAGAGGCAGGGATCCCAGGAAGCTCGCTCCAGGCTGGAAGGGGTGGCCTGTGCGGGCCACTTGCTCAGCTGCAAGGTTGTCATCCTGCTGTGGATCTGGGAACTGGGAAGCGCTTGCTTGAAATCCTTCCATGGAAGTAGGAAGCCCACATGGTGAGGAGGATTCTAGAAGCATGGAGAAGGTTCCCAAGAGGCCCCTGGGGCTGGAGCATCAGCACCGTTGCTGTGACAGAATGGCCAGCTTATTTCCTTGTCCACCACAGGTTTTGGGGGCCCAAGGGGGCCTGACCCTGAGGACTGACAAGGACACATGTCAACCATGGACAAGGCAGGAAATGAGTCCTGGGAGAGCACCCAGGCCATGGGACACATCACTCGGGCGGGAGGCCTTGCATGGGCAGGGCTGTGCAGCCCCGGGTCCTGAAGACAGCCTCCCCCACAGTGGCCAGGAGCACCCCTGAGCCCCGCAGCCCTCACCCCACACTTTCCCATTTCCACAGATGGGTCCGGTCCCTGCACCTCCGCACCCATCCCACCCCACATCTGTAGCTGAGCTTCTCGCCGTGCGGAGAGTGACTCATATCCTGGGCCACAAAGCCCCCAGGCCCTCGCTGCCTCTGTGCAGGTCCCCGGGAGCTCGGCCTGTCTTCCCTCCCCACGTGCGGTGGAGGCTGCTACGCCCTCCACTCCTGCAGGCCTCTGGAGGCCAGGACCCTCCCAGCCACGCAGACCACAACAGCCCTGGGGGCTCAGAAGCCAGAGATAGGCCCCGCCTGGGCCCACAGCGTGGAGCTATGGAGGTGTGGCCACGTGCCTCATCATCAAGGTGCTCATGTGACGCAATCAAATGTGACACAAAATGGCTTTCTGGAGCTAGAGCCCTGACGGACAACTGGGCAGCAAAACTGAAGAACCGGGGGAGCTGGTAC